TCAATTCATGCAAAGGTGTACAAAAAATATTTCAGGTGATTTCGTGAGTTTTTGTGTGGCTTAATTCATGTGAAAATACACATATTTTTGTGCAACTTAATTCGTAGGAAAATACATTTTGGGAGGGCAAACTTCGGAACAATCTTTTGAAAGTTATTAGAGCAATGCATGATGGGCAATGGTGTTCTACACTGCCATTTTTTTGTGTCCCACATTTATTTATATAAAAAAACAAACGTGTTAACAACCCAATATTGTTAATCAACCAGGTTGTCACCGAAATAATTATAATATAATAGTAAACGTATGTTTTTTAAATGTGTAATTAATGCCAATCCTGTTTTCTATGCTTGTTTTCACTTACAGTATTTAGTCAGCCACCAATTGTGCATGTTCTCCCGCTTAAAAAGATGAGAGAGGCCTGTAATTTTCATCATAGGTACACGTCAACTATGACAGACAAAATGAGGAAAAAAAATCCAGAAAATCACATTGTAGGATTTTTAATGAATTTATTTGCAAATTATGGTGGAAAATAAGTATTTGGTCAATAACAAAAGTTTCTCAATACTTTGTTATATACCCTTTGTTGGCAATGACACAGGTCAAACGTTTTCTGTAAGTCTTCACAAGGTTTTCACACACTGTTGCTGGTATTTTGGCCCATTCCTCCATGCAGATCTCCTCTAGAGCAGTGATGTTTTGGGGCTGTCGCTGGGCAACACAGACTTTCAACTCCCTCCAAAGATTTTCTATGGGGTTGAGATCTGGAGACTGGCTAGGCCACTCCAGGACCTTGAAATGCTTCTTACGAAGCCACTCCTTCGTTGCCCGGGTGGTGTGTTTGGGATCATTGTCATGCTGAAAGACCCAGCCACGTTTCATCTTCAATGCCCTTGCTGATGGAAGGAGGTTTTCACTCAAAATCTCACAATACGTGGCCCCATTCATTCTTTCCTTTACACGGATCAGTCGTCCTGGTCCCTTTGCAGAAAAACAGCCCCAAAGCATGATGTTTCCACCCCCATGCTTCACAGTAGGTATGGTGTTCTTTGGATGCAACTCAGCATTCTTTGTCCTCCAAACACGACGAGTTGAGTTTTTACCAAAAAGTTCTATTTTGGTTTCATCTGACCATATGACATTCTCCCAATCCTCTTCAGGATCATCCAAATGCACTCTAGCAAACTTCAGACGGGCCTGGACATGTACTGGCTTAAGCAGGGGGACACGTCTGGCACTGCAGGATTTGAGTCCCTGGCGGCGTAGTGTGTTACTGATGGTAGGCTTTGTTACTTTGGTCCCAGCTCTCTGCAGGTCATTCACTAGGTCCCCCTGTGTGGTTCTGGGATTTTTGCTCACCGTTCTTGTGATCATTTTGACCCCACAGGGTGAGATCTTGCGTGGAGCCCCAGATCGAGGGAGATTATCAGTGGTCTTGTATGTCTTCCATTTCCTAATAATTGCTCCCACAGTTGATTTCTTCAAACCAAGCTGCTTACCTATTGCAGATTCAGTCTTCCCAGCCTGGTGCAGGTCTACAATTTTGTTTCTGGTGTCCTTTGACAGCTCCTTGGTCTTGGCCATAGTGGAGTTTGGAGTGTGACTGTTTGAGGTTGTGGACAGGTGTCTTTTATACTGATAACAAGTTCAAACAGTTGCCATTAATACAGGTAACGAGTGGAGGACAGAGGAGCCTCTTAAAGAAGAAGTTACAGGTCTGTGAGAGCCAGAAATCTTGCTTGTTTGTAGGTGACCAAATACTTATTTTCCACCATAATTTGCAAATAAATTCATTAAAAATCCTACAATGTGATTTTCTGGATTTGTTTTTCTCAATTTGTCTGTCATAGTTGACGTGTACCTATGATGAAAATTACAGGCCCCTCTCTCATCTTTTTAAGTGGGAGAACATGCACAATTGGTGGCTGACTAAATACTTTTTTTCCCCACTGTAATACTTTGGGATGCTGGTGCACTTGTAGTCAGAAACGCCCTTTTTTCGTGTAGGCAATAGTAGGCCTACACAATTTTCTTCATAACGCATTTCATATTTTGTGGAGCCTACTTTACCCAATTTTATTCATAATGCATTTAAAACAAGTCTCCACTTTTTTGTGTACATTACACCGTTTCTTTCATAATGCATTTTATACAAGGCTATGTCGAATTTTATGATGGTTGCCACATTGGAGAAAAAATAAATAAATGGACACTACCTGTTATAAAATGGAAATTGCTCTCTAAATGGTCAGAAATGCTCAGTCGGAAGCCATTCGGCTATGGGTTTCACAGTCATATAATAATAATACAAGTTATATCACCTTGAAAATGGTTTATTTACAACCTCTGGGGTATAACATGTTGGGCAAAGTGGTATTGGAGGGTCTGACATAACCCCTAACTTGAGTTCAGTCTTCGCCAATGAGAACCAAGAGGGGCCTAGCTTCATCCTTCATGACTGGGAAAGGCCTCGATTCTAGGCCGTAGATAATCCTACATCTATCTCATTAGATCAGAACAGGATGGATCAACAGTGATTCATATTACTGGTTTGCATCCTAAAAAAAATGATATGTGTGTTTTGCTGCATAACACATTTACATTATTTGTCTACCCATGTGATGTGGATTATTGTCAGGTTATTTGATATATTTAAGCTTCAGTAACAAAAGAACACCATGGTTGTAATAACAATTTTAAACAGGTAGTTTGTAAATGTTTAGAATGTGTTTTGGGTCAACACAGGTAAGTTAACATATGTAAATTAGACAGTCACAGAGGATTTTCTTCTGAATAACTGGTCAGGGCATAGCACATTCAGGCAACTTTGATGTAAGGCTTGACCACACCTGTAGTCACTACTTCTATCCATCACGCCCATTGTTGCTTATCCATTGCACACTAGATATATCAATGTAATTACACCCAACACAATGTTGAAAAACAGAATGCTTCCCACCACTAGATCACATAGCTAGACGTGAGCAGGACATGATCCCAACGCTGCCACCAATATAGCGAAATAAATTGAAAGCTGCAACAGGGACTCTAACCAGAGCTCATGCATGAAAGCCTAGTAGGCCTCTGGGTAGAACCAGTAGGCCTACAATGGTGGCATTTACATTTTAATCATTTAGCAGACGCTCTTATCCAGAGCGACTTACAGTTAGTGAATGCATACATGTTTTTTTTTGGGTGTTTTTTGCCTTGTTACAATAGCCTAAGTATATAATAGGATTGACACAACCATAATAATCATCATGAAACGGCATTGGAAGTGCCTTAAGTGTAAGCCAAACATAATTCATTATTTTACATTAACCTGTTTAACTGCATTGATATGGCTTAATTGATCGTAGTCCAGACTCGTTATAGTTGCAAGTACCATGCAGTTGCACCAGGGGAATTTAAACCAAACAGATTTGTTTTGCAGGTCCTCTGTTTCCCCACATTTATTGATGAATACATTTATTGATGAATACAACAACAACAAAAACAGACAAATACAACTTTTTACTCCAAACTGGTAACCCTCATAAAATCTGACATAGCGCCAGTATCCCCAAGTATTAAGCGAAAACAAGCATAGAAAACAGCATTGGCATTAATATTATTATTATTTTTAAACATAATGCTGCTATTCTAAGTATTTCGGTGACAACCTGGTTGATTAACAATATTGGGTTGTTAACGTGTCTTTTTTTTATATAAATAAATGTGTGACACAAAAAAAGGCAGTGTAGAACACCATTGCCCAAAAATGCATTGCTCCAATGACTTTCAAAAGATTGCTCCAAAGTTTGCCCCCAAAATATGTATTTTCCTATGAATGAAGTCGCACATAAATGTGTGTCTTTTCACAGGAATTAAGCCACACAAAAGCGCACGGAATCTGCTGAAATACATTTTGTACATATTTGCACAAATTGAGTGTGAGATTGTGTTGCAACTAAATTGCCTCTATAATGGAATATGGAATTACATTCATGAGTTCCTGTAAAATCGAGTGGTTATTTTGTGAAAGTGCCTGTCTCACTGACCTAGGTCAATTTGGACTGGGCACATGACCCACTACAGTGACTGTCAATCATCAAATCATTGGAATGAGAAACAAAATAATCTATAAATAATGTTTATCTGTTTATTTGACTACATAATATGTAAGATCAAAAACATGAAGAACGACTAACATTTTATGTGTTGTCAGGAAGCCACGACTATTAATTGGCCAAAACTTATGGTACACTTGTTGAACCAGAAACGATCATTAAAAACACAACATTTGAATAATCAAATCATTATTTCATTTGTCATTATTCAATATTTCCTTTAGACAATAAAAACAAAACTTTGTGTTTGATTTCAGATTCAAATCAAATAAACAAGGAATGACACTTTACTCATTTTTTATCTTGTCATCTAATAGGAAATATTAATTGGCCAACAAGTACTTGGACCAACACGGACCGTTCATGCTGACTTCTTACTTCAAGTGATTACATTTAATGTAATCAGCGTGCCTATTGCAGCTGTCTGAAACCATTATGCTACTGTAGGTGATATGACTGACAGAACTGGCTCAAGTGTGAGTTATTGGAGAAACAGGATTGTTGAGAATTGGTACCCTGCCTGCCAACCACAATGGCACATTTGTTAAACAAACACCTGCTTGCTGTAAATTATTTGCGCCGATTATGACCATTTCAAAAACGTTGTAGAGAGTGATACAAGAAAAACATGGGAAGAATATTAGAGACACAAAAAGTGTAACTCTTTTTTTATAAGCCAGTCATATTCATTTACAAATTGAGATGAAATGAAAATAATAAAATATTACACATTGAACAGCTTAAGATGTGTTCATGCTGATCCCATTGTCAAGCCCTCACTATAATGTCAAGTCTCCAAGTGGAGCAGAGTGACCTCTCCATTGTAGGCTACCAAGTCATTGTTTGCTTTGTTTTGTTGAGTTTTTTTTCTCTACTCCCTCTTGGTCTCTCAGTGTGATGGAGGGAGAGGACCCAGAAGGAAATCCCAGCACTGCCTCATCCCACTCACTTCCTCCCCAAGCAGAGGCGGTAAGCCCAGCGGATGAGGATGATTGTATCACAACACGGGGGAACTCTGAAGAGACCGCTGAACACACAAACAGCATGGGCCAGCCGAGTCAGGACCACCAGAGTGAAGGGGTCCCAGCTAAGACTGCTGCCACAGACAACAACCAGAGTCAGTCCGCCACCACCATGGACAACCAAGTCCAGCAACAACCCACGGAAAGCCTGTCTAACACTAAACTCTGTGGGTACCTCCTTAAACAAGGAGGTCCCATGAAGTCGTGGAAGTCGCGCTGGTTCACATACGAGGAGAAGAAGAGCCAGTTGTTTTACTACAGGATGGCGCAGGATGTGACCTCTTTGGGGAAGATTGAGCTGTGCAGCGCCACGTTTGGATACCCCCTCCAAGGAGAGCATGGCACCTTTCACATCCAGACCCCCGAACGGACCTTCGTCCTCAAGGTAATGTTTATTGAATTTATAATATATCAGGTGTATTCAAATCTGAACCTCGAGGTTGGCAATTCTGCCTGTTTTATTTTCTTCCTGGTAGTTATTGTATTTATTATTAATGTCATTGGTTGGCCAGAGAGTCCCTGAGTAGAGGGGATTCACTTCTGGGGCCATCACATGTTCAACCCTGTATCACCAGGGTTTTTCCTAAATGTAGAACTTGCTCTGAATGGGAGTGTCATCAATATTTCTGAAATGTCATAGTTTTTTGTGGAGGGATGGGGAAGACTGCTAAAAGGATAAAAAATGAGGCAGTGAAACAGTGGTGCTCTTGTATCTGAATAACGGTCACATGTTAACCCAGTCATTTGGGTCACACAGCTGTCTATTCCTCTCAATAAGAAACCAACAGATCCTTTTGGTCAGAGATTAATCATAAAAGCTGAATGGGAATGCTTAGTAATTACAAAATGAAGGCATCTCTCTTTCTGTTGTATTGTTTTGTCCATGTTTGCTATACAGGAAGACAAATACAGTGCACTCATATTCACACATTGCATTTTAATACTTTATCTTGATCCACAATGGAACATTCTGAAGTCACGCATTACAGATATTCTGACTCGTGGCACACATGTACAGTAGGCTAACAATATCTCTTCTCTGTCTGTTTCAGGCAGATAACCAGGAGGCCATGATGTACTGGCTACAACAGCTGCAGCTGAAGAGATGGCAGCACCAAGACCAGATAACAGGAGAATCCACACGTCACTGCACTGACCACCAGAGACCAGAGGGACAGGGGGAATTACCCACCAGCTGCCCAGGTATAGTAAGACAGGGAGTAGTAGAATAAAGTGGCCCCAGACACTGCTCAAGATTATGTCTGGCATGACAATGATTGACAGAGAAGGCAAAGAATACCAGCTCAAATACCACTATATACCATGCATGGTTTAATACTTAGTGAAGCATTAAACAAATGTGAGAGAAATGTAATACTTGAAGTTAGTATGACAGTGAAAGTGGAAGCCATCAGACACACAATCAAGTTAACAACAGTGACAGGTATGTCATTGATTATGAAACCGGTTGTAACCAGTTGGATCGTGTTATCTGAGGATATGTTTTGTTTATAGTTGATATCATACTAAACTGTACTATGAATACCTTAGGAGATGGGTGTCATATTCTATCAAAGGGAGTTTGTCTCAAGTTATTCCACTCCCTATTGACACATGCAAGTTTAGAGGTAATTTCTAATATGTACAAGATCCTACACACAGATACAGAACACACCCAATGAAACATTGGCAGATATCAGAGATGAAAAACTAAACTAGGCAACATATTAATTTAGTTAAATTGAACGTTCCCACATTTTAAACTAAACATTAGTAATAACTCACCAATGTCCAAACAACAAAAATGTGTGTACATACTGTGAATCTTTCAAGTGAAAACAGATGTCAATGCACTGGAGTGTGATGTCAATATTTACAACACTCATCCCTTGGCTACATAGTCAATTCATGAATCGTCAGCAGTTGACTTTGTCAGCCTAAGCCTCTCCCTGGCTGGTAAGTGGCCTCACTAGGGATTTCCAAATTCTCCCACTGAGACCTAGCTTCCTGAAAGCCTGTGGCAGCACACCCACTTCCTTTCAGTGATTCAGCTAATCTACTATGGGTATCAAGTGTAGCCAGCCAGTCTGAGACAGAACATTGGGTAAGTCATTCATCTTTAACTCTCAAATAGACTTTCATACAAACATTCTGTCAAAAACCAACTAGTTTACATACAGAAATGTTAGTAACAATTTACGTCACTTTAATTTTACAGTATTCTTGTTAGAAATGTGCGACAAGTATTGTAACTGATCATTTTTACACTTGAGGGTTACACTGAGGACACACTGTGTATTTAGGTAATATAAACACTCAGAACATTCCAGATATAAATACTATGAGTAGAGCTGACTGCTGATATGATTCCCTATTCTACATTACAGACTGTTCTACACTATATATATTTCTATAGGAACGTTCTGTAATGTTGCAGCCTGGTGTTGTTGAGCAGCATGCATGATTGGAGCCATTCCTGTGTTTAAAATGCCTGGAGGATGAACAGACTTGTTCCATGCTCCTCCGGCAGGCCAGTCAGCTGATGTCTGGGAAACAACTGGCCTATTTGGCCTCTAGTGTTTTAGAACAGAGACCTATGTTTCCAAATAATAAGGAAGCTGTCTTTACTGCTCATTTCCATCATGTAAAATGCATATTTTTTTCATTTCACTTCACCAATTTGGACTATTTTGTGTATGTCCATTACATGAAATCCAAATAAAACCCCATTTAAATTACAGGTTGTAATGCAACAAAATAGGAAAAACAGCAAGGGAGATGAATACTTTTGCAAGGCACTGTATGGGCCAATGACTGGCCCTAGTAGATTATATTTTATCTGTTGCAATAGTTTCTAGAAGAATGTTCATTCATTGTCAACATTCATGTTTGTACTCTGTAAGCCTATGTTGTTGTCTTAAACACTGGAATATCTTAAGTACAGGACATTACTAGTAAAGGAAGGGTTGACTTCCCTTTTGGGCCCAAAATGTAGATTTTGGGCCCAGGTAGCCTAGCGGTTAAGAGCATTGGGCCTGTAACCGAAAGGTTGCTGGTTGGAATCCCCAAGCTGACTAGGTGAAAAATATGTTGACGTGCCCTTGAGCAAAGCACTTAACCCTAATTGCTCCTGTACATCGCTCAGGATAAGAGCATCTGCTAAATGAAGTAAAATGTCAAATGTATATTAAGATAGGGGGTGGGGGACAGCAAGAACAATTAAAATCCCTCTGGTAACTATTCAAACGTTTTTAGGGTCATGGCATTTTCATGAAACGGATTAAAGGTTATTTTCACCTACACAGGCCTTTATCATTTAAAATAAATGATTAATCTCTCCAGTGTTTAATGATATGTTGTTATTATATGCCCCATTGGTGGCCTGCCTGGCCAAGGTTGAGATTGGTGGGGTGGGGTTCAGGACAGGAAACAATGTTGATCAGATGTGCTTTGATTTTTCACTGCACCGTCTGCAAATTGCAGACAATTGCTTGCTCTTGATGCGTTCCCGCTTTCGTCTCTGGAGATTTGATACCAGTAAACCACTTATCTACTGTTAGTGATTTTACACGAAAAGAGATGCTAATGTACCTTCATTCAATCTAAATGTGAAGGTAAACTCAGTTGGTTTTTATCCACTTGGTATTAGATATGACATGGTAGCAACTACTGTATTACCCTATGTTATTACTCCATAGCTACGCCACACTTTCTTAACTAGTCAATGAAATAAGCACCACCTCTTTTACAATAGTATTTCAACAGTAGAATATGAAGTAGGAAAATAAGTCTAAACAGGGCCACATTCAGTAGGCAAAAGTTTTATAATGTTGCAGATATGAATAGAGCTGACATTCCTTATTCAGAGAGACATGTTTGTTCTACGTAAAATATTAGTTCCACAATGTTTGCCTACTGAACGTGTCCCAGGTGATTCCAGCGTGCCCTGCTCTTTGATCCCAGGGGAATCTGTGTAATGAATGTTTTGGCTACAGCCCCACTGACAGCTGCAGGAAGTGGTTCTGCATGGCCCCGAGAGCGAGAGGAAGTGCCCGTCTGACACCGTGCTGAGGCTAGGAGCCTTGGTTATAGCACAGGGGGGCTGCACTACACAGACTACAGGCTATTCTGGTCCAATAAATCAACACACATGTTATTTTGAAGCTTAAACAGCTTTTATAAGTGAGATATTCAACTGTTCAAGTCGTAGCTGTCTTGAATATGCATGAATGAACAATGTTATTGCTAGTTCCATGTAATGACTTTTCCCGATGCCATTGAGTTTGCTCCTGTTGTAGACACAACCTTTCCTACCAACTGGTTTGTGAATTGTGATATTTCATGCTTGTCCTGACATGCCCAGAATGTTTCACGGAGGAACAGAACAGTATGTTTTGACTGTAATACTCCTTTGAATATTCCCACGGTCCCAATTGTAGTTGTATTCAGCTTGCACAACTTGGTTGCCCAAAAGTAGTTAGGAATTTCATCAGTTAAGATAAATATATGAATCTCTTGACTTTTCAATGGGTCTCACCTCATGGTGTCATAACTTTCAGTTCATAGCAGTACAGTAAGAGCAAACAATTTTACCTGAAGACCAAGTCAACACAAGTCTGGTGGCCAGATAGTCATGATCGTTATTCTCTGTATTACAACCCATGATATCACTCTCATTGTCTTTAGCCGGAAGGTTCCTGCTTGTTACATGAGTAGCTGTGTCCTTTGTGTGCCCTGGCTCCAGAGGGCTTGATCCACTGACGTTGTTCTTTCCTTTTACTTCCTGTAACGTAGATTACTTCCTGCCAACGATGAAGACCCCGCCAGGCCTCTTGGGCGAGGAGGCCGCCAATCTGCCTGCGCCGGTACAACGGGCCCCCCTAAGCAACTTCTCCCTCAAACACCCTCTGATAGAGATTCAGTAGGTGATTTTTCCCATCTTTTCCCATTCATTTGGGATTGAGGCATATGGCTGGACCTGTACAACAGATGGTATAGGATACTAGGGCTGGGAATTGCCAGGTACCACACAATATGATATTATCATGATACTTAGGTGCCGATACGATATGTATTGCGATTCTCACGATTCTATATGTATTGCGATTCGATACTGTGATGTTATTGCGATTCGATGTTCCAAACATATTGCTCACAATATGTCTGCTGCAGAGAGACGAGAGAGCATAAGAAAACAAGTTTTGATCAGTCATGGAAATAAAAGTGCTGAAAACAAAATGGCTTCCTATTTAAAAGAAGATGGAGCACAAGCTATGAAGGAAACATACTGGAGTTTTGGTGCAGGTACAGCCAACTAGCGCAAAAGTAACATTGTTATATTGTCAAAATAATATGATACGTCATATCTTCAAAAATAATATCCCGATATGTAACTGTATAGATTTTTTCCCCATCACTTTAGGATACGTTGGAGTAGTTGACATTGGGCTTGATATTCATCTACATTGTTGATTGTAGACATTATAACTGTTTGTGGCTATGTGACTACAGGTGCCTGTGCTATGCCAATCTGCTAACATGCCAAGATTGACTTCATAGTGAAAGTGACTTTGAGATGTATTTTTTTTGGCTTGTACCTTAATCGCTAATTGCTTCATAATAAATGGATCGTTCTAGTAGTAGGTTTACACTCAGGCTGGCACTTGAGGGTGGATGTGTTGGCGTGCATGCTTACGTTTGTGTGTGTTCTCACACGTGTGTGTTGCTCCTACAGGAACTCAATGCACAGTCTCTTTTACAAGCGGTCCTCCCAGGAACTGAGTCGGAGTGTGTTCCATTTGGAGGCGCCTCCTCCCTGGACCCCACCAAATCCCTCAAAGACCCCCTCCCAGACAGCCCAGGACAGGCTTGGTACGTCCCACACACACCCCAGCTTCTGGAGATGTTCTCCAATACACTGGTGTTCTACACTGGTGGCATCCTTCTGCCCTCTGTTGGCAGCTGATTGAAATCATACAGAAGGATCAGGTTTTCTCATTGTCTGATAGCATAATGCCGTCATTGCTCTAGTAACATTGTCATTTTTTCTCGTCTAAACAAAGATACATTTTATTTGACACATTAGTAATATGTCACAGTCCAGAATAACCACAGAGCCATAGCCAACCTCCTCTAACCTCCATGCCCTCCTACAGGCCCTAGGACTCCCGTTGACCCCCCGACCCCTACCACACCGCTGCTGTTGGCGGACCACTCGGGCGAGTGCTCCCCTGGGGAGGGCAGGTTGTTCCCATGCCCATCCCCGAAGAGCAGAGGGAAGACGAGGGGAAGCTCTGCCACCATGCCCACTGTGCTACGGGAAGCTGCTACAGACAAGACGACCCGCCTCCAGCAGGAGAAACACATGCTGGCTGAGGAGGTCAAGGCCCAGAAGGTTAGAGCTAAGATCAAAGCCGTGCCAGATCTAATAAACCTCCAATATCTTACGAACAATGTTGTTTTCCACCCTGCCCTTATTATCTGACGTCTAGAATATGGTGTATGATTGATTTGATAGGCCTACAAATATCTTGAAATTCAATGTATTCCTTCTCATTTGAATCTGTGCCAGACTAGATGGACTAACCTCACTATTCACCTCTTGCTTTCCCACCCTGCCCCTGGCTCTACCCTATCCCCTTCCTCCTCCCGTTCCCCCTTCCAGGAGCTGGTGTGGCTTCTCCACAAGGCCCTGGAGGCGGCTCAGCTAGAGAAGCGGACCTGCACCGAGTTCCTGGCAGCCGAGTGCGAGCAGGAGCGTCTGGAGCTGTTGAGGCACCGCGAGCGCCACGCCGCTGACCTGCAGTGTCGTCTGGAGGAGCTGAAGGCCAAGGAGGAGGGCCTGAGGAAGAGCTTGGCCCAAAGGGACGCCCACGTGGCCGAGCTGCAGGAAAACGTCACCCTGATGATGGCGAAGAACCACGCCAAACAGGAGGTGAAGCCCATATTAAGGGGTCTAGGCCCGTATTCACAAAGAGTCTCATAGGAGTGCTGATACAGGATCAGTTTAGTCTTATAGAGCACAATGATTATGATGACAGTGGGGACCTAATCCTAGATCAGCACTCCCACTCTGAGATGCCTTTTGAATATGGGCCTGAGTTCTATTTGGCTCCAAGTGTATACACTTCATGATATGATAATATATGGCATCACTGCCTAATAATACAATCCTTTCTGATGTGATCCCAGGTGATCCTGAAGCTGTCAGAGCAGGTGGCAGCCTGCATGACCGACCCTAGACGCACCGTGTCCACCACCAATGGCCTGGAGGTCCAGACCTTCCACCAGCTGCAGGAGGACACTGAGAACCTCAAGGTTGGTTTGTGGTTGGTAGGTAGTAGGTCAGTCCAACACCAGAGATGGAATCAAGACCGAAGCCCAGCCTCAAGACTAAGACCAGGAGATTTATTTATAAACGTTGCATACGTACAAAATATGCCCCAAAACATGCGTGCGCCAGTTTTCACGTATAAGTTGGCATTTATAAAAACGGAACTTGATGTGAAAATGTGCTTATCCTCCCGCAAGCTTTAGACCATGCGTACACAGTTTCCAGTGGTTGAAGTATTGCATTGCAAGAAGGCAACGTAGCCTAGTAGCCTTGTGCAAATGGGGAATATATACTGAATATACAAAACATATGTCTTTCCATGACATACACTGACCAGGTGAATCCAGGTGAAAGCTATGATCCCTTATTGATGTCACTTGTTAAATCCATTTCAGTGTAGATGACAGGGGAAATGATTTTTAAGCCTTGAGACAATTGAGACATGGATTGTGTATATATGCCATTCTGAGGGTGAATGGGCAAGACAAAATATTTAAGTGCCTAACAGGGTATGGTAGTAGATGCCAGGTCCACCGGTTTGTGTCAAGAATTGCAACGCTGCTGGGTTTTTTCCTGATCAACAGTTTCCCGTGTGTATCAAGAAAGGTCCACCACCCAAAGGATATCCAGCCAACTTGACACAACTGTGGGAAGCATTGGCGTCAATATGGTGACTTATTCATAGCAAAAAAAAACAGGTAGCTAAATATAATAACAAGATGCAATCATTATCTTTGCATTCTAAAATAATTGGAAAGCTATTTCCGAATATTTAATTTCCATGATCATTGCATAATAAATTCCTCACCTTTTCTGACTGTCATAGTTTCATACCATCATACAATTTAGGATAGGCTACCGTTCGTCCCATCTCTCATTTAATTGGACCAACTTCATTAGTAAATTGATCAGCTACTGGTATTTAAAGTATTTTGCTCTATGCGATCATATCCGAAGCGCAGTGTCACGGTAGAACAGACGGTTCACCTTTTCCATTGACGTTTGTAGGCTACGTCTGAATACTGTAATATCACATTTCTCGAGTAGCCTAGACAATATTTCATTTAGAAACATAATACATATATCATAACTATTGCACCTTTTCTGACCATGATGAGTTCATATTCCCAAAGTAGCCATACAACAAATTACCTTGCGCATCTCTCATTGAATTGGGCCTATTAGATAGGCTATTAGAATGTAAGTTGTTGCTCTATGCATCCAAAAGGGAGCGCGGTTTATAACATACAGGTGAACAGACAGTTGATATTTGGCATTGAAGTGTCTCGGCTACCACTGGTATAGCCGACTGTAGTTTACTTTTTTTTCTTTCTTTTTTTGAATAGACAACGTTTCAGAATTTTCAGGCAGTGTAGCATATTTAGGTTCAGGAGAAAGTAAATGCAAAACACTATTGAATTCAAACGATCTGTTACAGGTCCGCAACAATTTGCAATTGTTTTTGTGTTTCAGAAACGGACAAATGTCACTGCAAAAGAAAACAACATTCTGCCAACACCTCCAAAGACATTTGATCAAGTTCGCTATTGATATTTGATTTAGATATACCGGTACTGTGTAAATACAGTGCAATGAAAAAGTATTTGCCCCCTTTCTATTTTTCTCAACTTTTGCATATTTGTGATACTGAATGTTATCAGATCTTCAACCAAAACCTAATATTAGATAAAGAGAACATAAGTGAACAAATAACACAACAATTACATATTTATTTCATAAACAAAGCTATGCAACACCCAATTCCCCTGTGTGAAAAAGTAATTGCCCCCTTACACTCAATAACTGGTTGTGCCACCTTTAGCTGCAATGACTCCAACCAAATGCTTCCTGTAGTTGTTGATCAGTCTCTCACGTCGCTGTGGATGAATTTTGGCCCACTCTTCCATGCAGAACTGCTTTAACTCAGTGACGTGTGGGTTTTCAAGCATGAACTGCTCGTTTCAAGTCCTGCCACAACATCTCAATTGGGATTAGGTCTGGACTTTGACTAGGCCATTCCAAAACATCCAATTTGTTGCTTTTGACTTGATTGTGTGTTTTGGATCATTGCCTTGCTGCATGACCCAGCTGCGCTTCAGCTTCAGCTCCAGCTCACAGACGGATGGTCCGACATTCTCCTGTAGAATTCTCTGATACAGAGCAGAATTAATGGTTCCTTATATTAAGGCAAGTCGTCCAGGTCCTGAGGCAGCAAAGCATCCCCAAACCATCACACCACCACCACCATGCTTGACATTTACATTACATTTTAGTCATTTAGCAGACGCTCTTATCCAGAGCGACTTACAGTTAGTGAATGCATACATGTATTATTATATATATTTATTTTTTCATACTGGCCCCCCGTGGGAAACGAACCCACATCCCTGCCGGCCAAACCCTCCCCTACCTTGGACGACACTGGACCAATTGTGCACCGCCCATGGGTCTCCCGGTCGCGGCCAGCTCTAGTGGCACAGCTAGCACTGCGATGCAGTGCCTTAGACCACTGCGCCACTCTTGACCTTTGGTATGATGTTCTTACTGTGGAATGCAGTGTTTGGTTTTCGCCAGGCATAATGGGACCCATCTCGTCCATAAAGTTGACTCAAGTTTACCAAAAAGCACCTGGATGATCATCAAGACTCTTGGAAGAACGTTCTATGGACAGATGATTCAAAAGTATAACTTTTTGGACGACATGGTTCCAGTAATGCCTGGCGAAAACCAAACTCTGCATTCCACAGTAAGAACATCATACCAAAGGTCAAGCATGGTGGTGGTGGTGTGATGGTTTGGGGATGCTTTGCTGCCTCGACCTGGACGACTTGCCTTAATAGAAGGAACCATTAATTCTGCTCTGTATCAGAGAATTCTACAGGAGAATGTCGGACCATCCGTCTGTGAGCTGGAGCTGAAGCTGAAGCGCAGCTGGGTCATGCAGCAAGGCAATGATCCAAAACACACAATCAAGTCTACATGAAAATTGCTATAAAGCAACAAATTTGAAGTTTTGGAATGGCCTAGTCCAGACCTAATCCCAATTGAGATGTTGTGGCAGGACTTGAAACTAGCAGTTCATGCTTGAAAACCCACACGTGAATGAGTTAAAGCAGTTCTGCATGGAAGAGTGGGCCAAAATTCCTCCACAGCGACGTGAGAGACTGATCAACAACTACAGGAAGCATTTGGTTGGAGTCATTGCAGCTAAAGGTGGCACAACCAGTTATTGAGTGTAAGGGGGCAATTACTTTTTCACACAGGGGAATTGGGTGTTGCATAACTTTGTTTATGAAATAAATATGTAATTGTTGTGTTATTTGTTCACTTATGTTCCCTTTATCTAATATTAGGTTTTGGTTGAAGATCTGATAACATTCAGTATCACAAATATGCAAAAGTAGAGAAATTAGAAAGGGGGCAAATACTTTTTCATAGCACTGTAATGCTCGTTCATGCGCGCACAGTTTTACGACAGGTCTGATTTATAACGAGAAACATGCGTATGTATGGCGTGCGCCAATTTTAGAAATCTCTATTTTTGTGCGTGGCAGTCTTTTCAAAAATATCACACGCAGATATTTTAATGTCAAATTTACGCAATGGTTATAAATGAGGCCCCAGAACCATAGAGTCTTTTGAAGTAGATTTTAGATATATATATTCTCTGGTCAAAAAAGTATTTGTAGTACAAATATGAAGCATATTTATTTGTTTCTTTAAATGGCCCTCACTCTGCCCTTCCATGCACTATTAATACTTTTCTCACACAGGATGACATTGAGGCCTACAAGATCCAGAACAAGTTTCTGAACTCTGAGATCTACCAGCTGACCAAGCTATGGCGCAACAGTTCAGAGCAGGAGAAAAGCCTTATGGTGAAGGTGGGTCTGCCTAGTGACTATGGGTGATATTCAGTGCCAAATACATCTGCATGTGCTGTCCAGGTTGGAGTGGGTTGTGGTGAAGTGAAGCACTGAAGGCCACTACAGTTGATTGAATTGGGACCTCAGTCTTGGTCTTTTAGGGTGTGCTTATTTTGTGTTGCAGTGTGCCTACCTGGAGGCCCGTAACTGTCAGATAGAGAGTCATTACCTGGGTGTACTGAGGAAGCTGCAGGAGAGCAAGGCTCTAGAACCGGGCCAGCATGAGGCTGTGAGGAACCTCATAGAGGACGCACTACAGGGAGACCTGAACGACATCCTCAAACTCAACCCTGTCAGGTAACGGACCGTGGATCAATACTCTGAACTGGCTTCCTTTCCTTGTCTTCTTGTCTCCTCTGCTTCACTACACTGATAGATGACAGGACCAACTTTTTTATTTAATTTTTATTATTTATTTATACATGTGTTCCTTTTTTAAGATTTACAACAGTCACTTTCTCAAGGGGGACACTTGTTATAAACACATTAAATCACCAATTCAGTCACACAATTAACAAAAATTAGATTACCATCAAAAGTCAATGAATGTTCAAATGATCTACAAACCGTGAATGAACATTGATCTCCATTCCTTAGGGAGCACGACGAGTACGGCTTCAAGATCATTCCGGACTACGAGGTGGAGGACATGAAGCTGCTGGCCAAGATCCAAGACCTGGAGATCCGCTCCCACAATCTGCTGAGGCAGGAGGCCGGGGTCAGACCCCTGTTGGACCGCTGGGCTCAGTATCTGGGCGGCCGCCTGGCCGACGACCTCTACCCCTCCCAGGAGCTCAAATTCCTGCTGCGGTGTGGCGTGCCGCGGGAGTACCGCCCGCAGGTGTGGCGCTGGGTGGTGAGGGCCCGCACACGCTCGCTGAGGGAGCGCCACCCGGATCGCTATGAGCAGGTGGGTGGTAGGGTGGTAGTAGATCAGGCAAATTCACTTCCTTACAATGCATCTCTCAATTTCATAATCTTTCTCCATCTGTCCATCCATCTTTCCGTACATCTACATGAAATCCATCCATTACTGTTTCAGCTGTGCCAGAAGAGCCTTACGTCTCCCCACCAGGCCTCCAGACAGATCCAGTTGGACCTGCACCGCACGCTAACCACCAATCAGCGCTTTTCCTCACCCTCCAGCCCCGCCCTGCAGCAGCTACAACGAATTCTGCTAGCCTTCTCCTGGCAAAACCCCACCATCGGCTACTGTCAGGGCCTCAACAGGTACAAGACTCCCTTTATCAGTCAGCAGTGTGCTCAATAAAATATTAAATATAGAGAAATACTGCCACCTAATGGGCAAAGCTGTAAACTGATATAAAGTGCAGACTCCAAAACAATATCTACACAATGTTCTCAGTTTAGGGAAGACTGATGAGTTTTTTTGTGAAAATCTATGATTAGTCTAAAAACATGCATTTTCCTCGATCTGGCTACTCAGACTAGGCTGTAAATATACCATACAAGCTTTCACAGACTTCAAAACAATCTCTACAGTATATCTAAGGACAACTATGACATTGGCCACTCTCTTTCCCTTCAGGCTGGCAGCCATAGCTCTCCTGGTGCTGGAGAGTGAGGAGGATGCCTTCTGGTGTCTAGTAGCTGTGGTGGAGGTCATCATGCCCCACGACTACTACACCAAAACACTCATAGCCTCGCAGGTAATGATCCGGCTCGAAGGAGCAAAATATGTGATTTTAAACAACTGTATAGATGCATAAAATAATTATCTACAGTTCTCTGTAATAAAAATACGGGAAGTGGTGTTTTAAGTGGGATTTAATCCGTTTTAGTTCTGCAGCTGTTCCAAAACATGGAACTGAAACTGAAATAGCGCATACATTTCATGAACAACGTAATGAATTCAAGATTTCTCATATCATGCCAATATCTGTTAATGTCATCTGCTGATGTGACATGGTGTATGTGTGGATGTTGCAGGTGGACCAGCGTGTGCTGAAGGACTTCATGGCGGAGAAAATGCCCCGGCTGACTGCCCACTTTGAGGAGCATAGTGTGGACGTGTCCCTCATCACCTTCAACTGGTTCCTGGTGGTGTTCGTGGAGAGCCTGCCCAGCGACATCCTCCTGCGGGTGTGGGACGCCTTCCTCTACGAGGGCACCAAGGTACCGCGCTTAAGTGAGACTAGTGCCTGGGCCGAAAGCAAAACAGAAACTCCTAGCTCATGGGTATTCAAATGTGGGTCCTGTCTGCAGGATGACTGGTTGTTAACTGATTGATAAATGTTATCGATTGCCCAGTCTACCCACCTGGTATAATATTTTTTTTGCAGCAGCAGTTCTAATGTAAACGTGCATGCATGTTTTTGATGCAGGTGATATTTCGGTATGCCCTGGCTCTGTTCAAGTACAAAGAGGAGGAGATCTTGAACATTCATGACAACGTGGAGATCTACCAATACCTGCGCTTCTTCACCAAGACCATCTCTGATGGCAGGTGAGAGGTCATCTAAGATCAAATTATGGAGGCTGTGTTATGAAGAAAATGGCACTATATTAGATCTGTGTTTCTGTAGTGGGATAGGAACCACTATAGCAGAGGTCTTAAACTCCTGGATGGCTGGTGTGCATGTTTTTGTTACAGCCCAGCACTTACATACCTGATTCACCCCTAAGTGGTTTGTGAACAATTCCACTAAATCACATTTAGCTTGTCCTTTGTAACCTGTTCAATTGTTGTATTATCTATATGGTTTGTGCTTTTTGTCCTGTACCTACTTAGCCCATTCTTTTTCTGCTGCCCTATTTAGTCGGTGTGTTGCTGGCAGAGCAGATGGAGGAGCTATTTTTGCTGTAGACCGAGACAGATGCTCTCTCACCATATAGAAGTCAGATAGCTCTGTTGTCGCTGCTGCTATGGGCTCAACACATGGGAGAAAAGGAGGCTATACAGCCAGAGGAGTGCATTGAGGGCAGCATTCACAGCACTCTGTTTTGTATCTCCAAACAAAGAGCAGATGAGATACATGCACCACTATCTCAGGAACTCCTGTCCAATGCATGCAAGTAAAACAGATGTGTGAGAGAGGGCTAAATCTGGTGTTGGGGCCATACAGCTTATGGAGTATTTTGTGACTATGCTGCCTGCACAGAGTTCAATTCTGTGGTTTTTCGGTTTGGAAATCAACAGGCTGAGTAATATTGGGCTTGTTTCTATGTCTTGCCTTACTCTGTTCCGTCCAACAGGAAGCTGACCAACATCGCCTTCAGCGACATGAACCCGTTCCCCATGAAGCTGTTGAGGAACCGGCGTGCACTGCATCTGGAGTGCCTGCAGGGGGAGCTCAGAGAGCTGGAGGCCCAGCAGAGGGAGTTTGTCACCGAGAGCGCCGAGCGTAAGGACAAGGACCTGGACACTATACTGGTCAGCGAGGACGATGAGGAGCTGTAGTTAGGGGACGGTCAGAGACTCTGGACAGAGGGGTGGATCCTGTGGAACTAATGGATCTAATGGATTGGAGTTGTAGACTATACAGCCATCTGGTGAAGAATGGCCCCGCTGGTACAGATATGACCCACCCAAAGCTCTGGTCCAAGATCTATTTCTTACTGTATGTTAGTCTATTTGTAATGTATTTTTAAAAGGTAAATAGTACCGGAGTTGTGGTCAAGAACACTATACCTGACCAACCACATTCTCTCTAGATCATCTAATATAATAGTTTACATGCACTGCCATAGGAATGAATGCAAAAGACACAATTTACACATATTTGCACACTTCATTTAACTACAGTAGGTATTTCATCGATCATATGTCATGTAGATTTTTATTTAACATGTTTCACTCACTTGCCAAAATGCACACTCCAGATTTTGGGTTAAAGCATATTTTGTCCAAATGCACGTTACTTGTGTATTACTGCTTTGCATTTAATTTACTTTTCCTTTCATTTGTGTGTATCATATGTACCATAACACAATGTGAACTTCATGTAGGTATGTATAATGTAGCAGTGGAGGCTGCTGAGGGGAGAACGGCTATAAATAATGTCCGGAACGGAACAAATGGAATGGCAAACACCTGGAAACCATGTTTGATGTATTTGATACCATTCCACTCCAGTCATTACCACGAGCCGTTCTCCCCAATTAAGATGCCACCAACCTCCTGTGATGTACAGTACAACTACGACAGTCAATGACAAGTTTACTTTTTCCAATTTATTACCTTAAAAAAACGAATATACATAAATACATAAAAATCTAAACAAAAAAACAAAACATTGCCCAATGTTAAACAACCTTACTGCAGAGAAATGTAACACCAGACAATTAAACTGATGTTGCCTATTCATAACAGTATCTCCCTTCATGTGTGACAAGAATAGACGCGCAGTTTGTTTCTAGGAACGAAGAGAGGTCGACTAACATCTCGAAAAACAGTGGCTTTGTTGCTGAGTAAAGCTATTGTTCTATCAGTTAAGTCAGTATTAAGTCACGTGGATCTAATGCCGTAATAGTCACACCCTACAAAGATGGCTCGCCCTAAAATGGAGCGAGGAAAAACCCCAGACGGAAAACATGCAAGTCGTCTATGGTCCACCGTTTTGAGTATAATACTGGCTTTTACAATACTGGCTCTTCCTTCTAAGTAGTAGGGCTTTCTGTCCGCGCTAATAGAAGCTGACAAAGCAGGCCTTGCGTCTCAGCTAGTCGCAGAGCAGCTTGCTTTACAGGCGTGTAAAGAAAAAGAAACCAGAACTGAAAAGCCAGTTAGCACAACACGGTCTCTGTTGTTGTGTCTGATTTTCCCGTTGTGTGCGTCGACTGGTAGTTTGGCAAACAGAACGGTGTGGGTTAAATGTAGTCAGACAAGGCTGAGAGAAACAGTCCCTCGGTCATAGTCTTGGTCTTCTATGATGGACACATACCCATGAATGACATGTCGTTTTCAGAGAAATGCAGTTAGTTATCAGTAGTCTGACCTGTGGATTCCTTGATTGCACTAGGCATATTTTTGGGCAGGTTCTCTCACTTGGGGAAAGGACCATCCTCTGAAACATTTAAGAAACATCTCTACATTGTATCGACTGACAGAGCTAAAGTCATTTTCAACTATAAATATTTTAGATATCTTAAATTGATCAGTGTTTAAATGAATACCATCTTAGTGCAATTCTTAACATACTTTACGCAATAGGGTTCTGTGGCAACGTTAATTCGGCTTGACTTTTTTTCAACATACATGCTCTTAATATTTCATAGGTACATCATAGTGTACGGTCTAGTAGTGTATTCCCGGAGAAAAGCGCACCAACACTCTTGTTTTCCTGTTTTGAAACATTAACGATGTTATTGTGAAGGATGGCTGGTGCTTGTCATTCTCTCACACGAGAAGCTGAACATGAACGTTATGTGAACAGTCACAGCCATCTCTCCCTTCAACATTGAACATATCCACCAGGATCACTTCACAATATCAGGATACTATTTAGTCTTATCAACACATTATTCAACTCTGCATAAAACGTGCATTTCATACAATTCTGAAAGTCTTCAAAAGATAGCATTTTCTGACTTAGAAGATTGATAAAAGCAAATTCAAAAAAAGGGGGGGGGGGGGCGGCAAAGTTGTTCTTCAGTCTCTCCAATGGATTCAGTACTCTTGGTATCAAATACACATATCTACTGCAAAAAGAAGAGGGGGCTTAAGGCTTACAGCACTTCTACCCCCCAATTACAAACTGGGGAGTCCCGTCACTAACCAATAAGATAGGGGGCACATCCTATGGAACCAGTTAAGGCAAAGTGCGAGTGTGTCCCCCTCCACTCCCCCTCACATCAGAGAGATGATAGCGCTATGCCAGGAACTTGTCTTGAAAAGCTGTAGTGCACGTAAAAAAAATTAAATAATGTAGCGGTAAATACTAATGGTGTTGCATTATTGCTTGAGGGCTGCAAAGTCATCACTTCCTACTGAGACTTCAGTGGAAGAGGACTCGTTACACTGCACCTCTGATTAGGTCAAAGGTCCATTGTCCATCAATCCCAATAATGACTGACTGGTTTGATAAATGAACCAAGTGAATCAAACTAGGGGACAATTGGTTGAGTAAGAAAAGCAACAGACTTTGCAGCCCTCTGGATAGTTCTCACTGTAAATGTCATGCCCAGTTCACAATGAACCCTTAGTCCCTACCCCTAAACTTCTCATGGTCCCTTGTAGATCTAAGTGTCTAGGTGTAGGGGGGATAGACTTCCAGTCGGCAGTAACTTTGTCTCTGCGTCCCTCCAAACCATGGGAACTACAAGTTGTCTTCCTCCAGCTGTAATACCCACAGCTGTATGACTCTGTTTCTGCACATCCCAAAAATCACGCTGCAAAAACAGATCCCCTACACTCTGGTAAAAATACATCTCCTTTCAAAACAAAAGTACACTCTTCCATGATGCAGATTGAATTCAAATGCAAACGTGAGTCTAACGTACTTAAGTTTCAGTGGTTGATTAAAAACACATCTAAGTGCTATATCATTGCATGACAAATAAGTATCTCGCTGATCGAGAAGTCCAACCAAAAGGCAAACTTGTTATGCAAAACGTTGACAACCCAAAGTGATTGAATACATTTTAGTACTGTGTTCGACTAGATGGCAATTCTTTTTTTAGTCTTATAAAAAAGGACATCACTACGAAAAATGCATCAGCCTTTTAAAATATGCAGCGCTTCAATATAAAGTGCTTCATTATTGTAATTTTTTTACAGTTTCTTATTAAAATATTGTATTCCCTGGAGTGAAACCATAGTAAACATGTTACACATTGGTAAAAATAAACATTCTGGAATGTCTTTTTAAAAAGTCCCATTAGGTGATTTTGGTCAAGCTGAACTTGTTCCTGGAGCCTGGAAAGCAAAGTTATTCAAGTCTTATTACTCCATTCACAGTATCACATGCAGTCATTAAAAAAGTATTTGGATGGTAAAATAATGAATGGGTGAAAAAAGGGTTAGATGCATTTCCAAGCTGTTATGATTTAAAAAAAATAAAAGGACAAGAAAAGGTTACGGAAAAGAAAATGGAAGCCATGCAGTGGAGTGGTGATGTTAGGATCCATCTTGTGACCTGAAGGCTGCACATTCAGAGGAGGACTGAGGGATACGCCTGTATCCTTGGACCAAAGCTGACTTGCTGCTGTTATCAACACTGATTGTGCATTATGACAAATACACATAGCTTATTATTTTAAACTATTGGGGGAGATACTACCTCCTCTATAACTACCAAATTACAAGAATAACTTTAACCATAATGCTCTCAGAGTATCTAGGAGATAAGAAAAGGCAAAATCTACAAGTAAACAGAAGTGCCAACTTTAGTAGCTCCTAACAGCGCTTTAAATAATTCCAGCAGTACATGGAAATCCAGCAGCACGGTACAATAGACTGGCAAAAATAGTCCTATATCCACCTCCACCTCGGTCCCTTTTAGCATTGCATCATCAGTCTGGCATTGTTGTTGCTCACTGCTGTTTTTGGGGGGGATGGACTGTTTATTTTGTACTGTTCCTTTGTGTTCACCCCCCCCCCCCCCCCCCCCCCCATCTTTCTTAGCTGACAGATGATTGTCTGCGCTACCAGACATGCCCCTCTACCAAAAAGCACCATAGTGATAAGGCAAAAAAACTCAACCCAATTACATTTCAGGTTAAAGATGGCCAGGAGATGACAGGCGAGCAAAAAACCCAGTAAAAAAAAAGTGGGATGGAATAGTTTGCGAAAATAGTTATTAGAGATGTGGGTGAGCAACATGCCGTAGTGGTGTGTTAGTTAGTTAGTTAGCATGCGTTAGCTAGCATGCGAAGACGACGGTTTAGAAGGCGTCTGTGGCTTTGGTTGTGGCTGAGGCACGACGACGGGGGAGGGTTTCTGGAGCAGCGTGGCGAAGAGGAAGAATGTGGAGGTGGGCAGGTAGACGCAGAAGAAGAGGACCACGTCCTCTGTCAAGCAGAGGATCAAGGAGACCATGGTACTCTGCTCCCCCAGGGCCCAGTCCACCAGCACCCCTGCCAGGAGGTAGTACACGTGGAACTCCTGCAGCTCCTCCCACTCTCCCCCGCCTCTGTCCAAGCCCCAGCCCACCTCCTCAGTGTCTCCGCCCCCGTCGCTGCCCCCTCCACTGTCACTCACCATGGGCTTCATCTCCGCCCCCTCCACCAACACCGCCTCTGTGGGGCGGCTCCGCCCTCGCTCCACCACCCGCTCCAGCTTCCTGCTGTTTTCCACAAACTCCTGCAGGGAGAGATGGAAAGCAGTGTCATACCATGTGCTGAAACGCACCAGTGTTGGTTAATATTACGCTTAATATTCCATGTGAATGGTCTTGTGTGGCTCATTTGCTAGAGCATGGCGCTTGCAACTCCAGGTTTGTGGAGGGACCAGTACGAGAAAAAAAATGAAAAATTGAATGCATTTCCTTCGTTATTAAATCACAGAATCCTTAGCTTTAGTGTCCCAAAACAAAAACCTAGACTGAACAAAAATAAATGCATGATAATTACACAGGTGCACCTTGTGCTGGGGACAATAAAAGGGCACTCTAAAATGTGCAGCTTTGTCACACAACACAATGCCACAGATGTCTCAAGTTGAGGGAGCGTGCAATTGGCATGCTGACTGCAGGAATGTCCACCAGAGCGTTTGCCAGAATTTTAAAGGACTGACCTCACAACCGCAGACCACGTGTAACCTCGCCAGCCCAGGACCTCCACATCCGACTTCTTCACCTGTGGGATGGCCTGAGACCAGCCACCCGGACAGCTGATGAAACTGTGGGTTTGCACAACCAAAGAATTTCTGCACAAACTGCCAGGAACCGTCTCAGGGAAGCTCATCTGTGTACTCGTCGTCTTCACCAGGGTCTTGACCTGACTGCAGTTCCGTGTCGTAACCAACTTCAGTGGGCAAATGCTCACCTTCAATGGCCACTAGCACGCTGGAGAAGTGTGCTCTTCGCAGTTGAATCCCGGTTTCAACTGTACCAGGCGGTGGGAGTTATGGTATGGGCAGGCATAAGCTACGGACAACACACAATTGCATTTTATCGATGGCAATTTAAATGCACAGAGATACCGTAACGAGATCCTGAGGCCCATTGTCTTGCCATTCATCCGCCGCCATCACCTCATGTTTCACCATGATAATGCACGGCCCCATGTCGCAAGGATCTGTACACAATTCCTGGAAGCTGAAAATGTCCCAGTTCATCCATGGCTTACATACTCACCAGACATGTCACCTATTGAGCATGTTTGGGATGCTCTGGATCGACATATACAATAGCGTGTTCCAGTTCCCGCCAATATACAGCAACTTCGCACAGCCATTGAAGAGCAGTGGGACAACATTTCACAGGCCACAATCAACAGCTTGATCAACTATGTGAAGGAGAAGTATCGCGCTGCATGAGGCAAATGGTGGTCACACCAGATACTGACTGCTTTTCTGATCCATGCCCCTACTTTTGTGACCAACAGATGCATATCTGTATTCCCAGTCATGTGAAATCTATAGATTAGGGCCAATTTCATTTATTTCAATTGACTGGATTTCCTTATATGAACTGTAACTCAGTAAAATGTTAGAAATTGTTGCGTTTTATATTTTTAGTTCAGTGTATATTGCTAATTGCTGTATTACTACTGAGTGCCATTATTGGAAAAAGTTGCATGTTGTAGTTCATAATCCTAAACCTAACTGGGCTATCATACTAAACCAAACGGGGATATTTTTAGGGCCCATTTAGTCACACTACCTGTCAAACAAATTAATTAATATTATGCAGCTACTGGAGTTGCTAACAAATAGTTTTCCATTTCCCTTCAGCTTCTACGTTTTTAAACATCCATCCAGAGAACATCTCCAGAGGGAACCTACCATTCAAGAAGGCCCCCTTCTGAATTCACCTACTACCTCCCATTAAGGATGCTCAAGGTTGTGTGCTATATGAAACAAGCTACTTTGCATATTTTGGGAGCTTTCTTCCCCTGATTATGTCTGACAAGTGCGCTGACAGCTCTCCCAACAGAAAAGCATAAAGTTACAGGAGAAAATAATTTAAATGCCATGTTTTGAATATTTGTTCATCCCTGGATGATTGAGTTGTAGGATAAATGGAACATCCAAAAGGTGCATGTAGCAAAAGGGAAGATGCAGAGATAAGAAACAATTATGAAGTCTAATTGTGTTCTCAATGAACAGGACTCAAAAATAATGCCATTTTTGAATAGATATTCTATATTACATGTACTTTACGCCTACCTACATGTGCAAATATACTGAACAAAAATATAAATGCAACAATTTCAACGATTTTACTGAGTTATAGTTCATATAAGGAAATCAGTCAATTGAAATCAATTCATTAGGCCCTAATCTATGGATTTTACATGACTGGGCAGGGGCGCAGCCATGGGTGGGCCTGGGAGGGCATAGGCCCACCCAATGTGGAGCCAGTCCCAGCCAATCAGAATGAGTTTTTCCCCACAAAAGGGCTTTATTACAGACATAAATACTCCTCAGTTTCATCAGCTGTCCGGGTGGCTGGTCTCAGATGATCCCGCAGGTGAAGAAGTCTGATGTGGAGGTCCTGGGCTGGTGTGGTTACACGTGGTCTGCAGCTGGGAGGCCGGTTGGACGTACTGCCAAATTCTCTAAAACGACGTTGGATGCAGCTTATGGTAGAGAAATTACCATTCAATTCTCTGACAGCTCTGGTGAACATTCCTGCAGTCAGCATGCCAATTGCACACTCCCTCAAAACTTGAGACATCTGTGGCATTGTGTTGTGTGACAGAACTGCACACTTTAGAGTGGCCTTATTGTCCCCAGCACAAGGTGCACCTGTGTAATGATCATGCTGTTTAATCAGCTTCATGAAATGCCACACCTGTCAGGTGGATGGATTATCTTGGCAAAGGAGAAATGCTCACTAACAGGGATGTAAACAAATTTGTGCACAAAATTTGAGAGAAATACGTTTTTTGTGCTTATGGAAAATTTCTGGGATCTTTTTATTTCAGCTCATGAAACATGGGACCAACATTTTACATGTTGCGTTTATATTTTTGTTTAGTATAGATAAACAGTTTACTTCCCATTCCAACAAAATCCCACCAGTATACCATATCTTCACGTAGATTACCATCAGGGCTTTGTCCATGTAGAACTCTCTGCCCGGTGTACCGTCATTATATTTGGTGTCGATGGCGAAGCAGAGGAAGAGCACGTCCACCACGATCTCGAAGATGGACAGGAAGCAGTGGGCCACCAGGAAGGCAAAGAGGCAGACGATGATGAGAGGGAGGACCCACTCTGCGTAGTCCCGCTGGTAGTTCAGCAGCAGTACGCCGGCGAACGCTGTTGACGTCACGATCAGGATCTGACCATGCACACACATTTAAAACACATATGCATGTAAAAATAAAAATCAAAATTTTAATTGAGCAGTCCACGCCACAGGAGGTTGGTGGCACCTTAATTGGGGAGGACGGGCTCGTGGTAATGGCTGGAACGGAATTCGTGGAATGGTATCAAATACATCAAACACATGGTTTCCAGGTGTTTGATGCCATTCCATTTACTCTGTTCTGGCCATTATTATGAGCCGTTCTCCACTCAGCAGCCTCCTGTGAGTCCACGCAATCAGGCCCACACTCAAGGTAATGGCTGCCCTTAACCACAGATGTAGGAACAGATTGCCCTACCCCCATCCTAACCTTAATCATCAAGGGGTTGAAAAGTAGATCTGATCCTGTAACAGTGAATAGGGACTACTCTGAAGCCCTCAAGTATCCCAGCAGCCCCCCTCACCTTGCCCAGGAAGAGGACAAAGTCTCCCACGGCATTGATGGCGGCCACCCTCAGAGCGTTCTCCACCAGAATCACAAAGGCGTCGCGCGCCGATGTGCAGAAACTGGTGCTGTTGATGGCTGTCGCCGTGTACGCATTCTAACGACAGAGAGGAGAGACTGTAGTCACTAAACCAGACCAGCAGGATGCGAACCAACTTACACCTCTTATCTATCCTTTATTTATATAAAAAAAGATCAAATTAGAGGGAAGGAAAGCACTCCTACCTGATTCAAATAGTTGAGGCACTTCTCCAAACACCACAGGCAGCAGATACAGGTCTTCAACATGCAGCGAGCACATGCATTTTCCTGTGTGAGAGAGATGGGGAAAGGTATCTGAGATGCACTACTTTTCAAAAATAGATACAATAGTTTTCAAAGCTGTTCCCCGCAGAGCTCCAGAACTTAGTGTTCTCACATCTCCATGCTAAACCAAAAGATAGTGGAAACGGAATGCAGCAGGCACAGTCAGATTGCTGTAGGCCTACCCAACTTTATGGAACAGTTCAGAGTATTAGTCAGGTGAAGTTACCTCCCCTCTCAGAACTCTGGAGAGCTAATGCCAATTTATCCCTTCAATTCATTATGCTGTAAGGTCCATAGATCATGTCAAGCAGCAACACTTGGGACGTGACAACAAACAGTAGGTTAAGGACAACAGACACTAGCTCACATTACCCACCAAGGAGAATAAAGAAAAATACCTGTAAAAACAAATAACATGATAATACTATAGAAACACGGTTTACCAGATGTGTTTATCCAAAATGAGTTAGTTAAAATAGTCATTATATATGTCCCATTTATTAACCAAACCTACACCCCTAATGTTACCAGCACTGTGCCAAACCCAAACAGCCATCTGAACCTAAAACCAAAATAAATCCTCTCTTCTCTAAACTGTCCTAAACAGAGCAACAGAAGATAGCAGGTGTCAAAAAAAGTCATTATAGCCGATGTCATGTCACAACAACTGTCATGTTGACATTGACAGCAATTTAGATCTACTGGTGACAAGCCAACAAGCTAGCCTTGATTAGCTTGTACAGCACATCACTGTATGTAACATGCAGTATTTTATTATTCTCCATACAATGAATGTCAGCGATAGAGAGAGAAGAGTTAGTAAACAGTGTGCTTTACCTTGCCCTTGAGCTGGTTGTGGACGTACATGAGCATTAAGCGTGGGATCTTGACCAGGGTGATAATGAAGGAGCCCTTGGCCACTGTGCCCAGGTGGTACCTCATCAGCCTCAGCACTGACGACAGGATGGGCGTCACTGGCAGCCTGGTCTTGTCCCTGAGACAGAGGAAAGGAAAAGGATAGAGGGAAAGAGAATGGGAGTAAAATAAATGAAGAGAGAGAAGTTTAAATTGATATTCTTGTTCTCCTCTCTGTAATTCCTATAACTCTGTGAGAACAGATTACCCATAAATACCTAGATTTTCTTTTTAGCAAAACATTTGTGACAGACAATAAAATCTAATGTTATTACTAAGCATGATTATAGCCGATATCCTATAAAATAAACATTTGTATATAAACAAATCATGAAAACGTAATTTCAGAGTCAGACCTTGTGTAGTAGTACGTGACCACGGCCCCAGCGACAGTCATCTGCTGGCAGGCCAGGATGAACTCACTGATCCAGATGAGGCCCACAGTGTGGTACCACATCATGTACTGCAGAGGCCCAGTCAGCCGAAACTCTGTCAGACCTGTCTCCTCGTTCTGGACCGGGTTCCCTGAGGGGGACATCTCAGACTCAGTCTAGTGGTCGGGACTAGTTTGGACAAGTTCCTGAATAAGGCCAATACAGTAAACTGAACTAAACCATCCTAGTGCAGTGTCCTGTTGTGTTGGAATTCATCACTTATCATTTGTAAAGATGCTTTCCCACTCTCATGTTTTCATTCCCTTTCTCTCTCATATTTTCCCCTCCCTCCCTCCACCCCACTTTCACTTCCAGCACCAGGCCCCAGTACATCCAGAAGAGGAGAACCATTGCCCCTCCCTCCCTCCCTCTCTACCTCTCTACCTCTCTCCCTCCTCCATCACCCTCCCTCTCTACCCCTCTCCCTCCTCCACCCTCCCCCTCTACCTACCCCTCTCCACCCTCCACCCTCCCTCCCCTCTCCCTCCCTCACCGGTGGTCCCGAGGAAGAGCAGCACCAGGCCCCAGTACATCCAGAAGAGGAGCAGGGCCAGGAAGGTGCAGAAGGGCTGCAGGGTGAGCAGCGGGAGGTGGATGAACACCTTGCCGGCCACGTGGAACAGGGCGATGGTCAGCGCCACGCGCTTCCTCATGAACAGCATCAGCAGGAAAAGGATCACCTGAGGGGGGGAGCGAGGAAGAGACAAAGGAAGAGAGAGAAGGGAAAATCACACAAAGAGAGAGAAAGGTATAGGGGGAGAGGGATGTAAATGAGTGGAGAAGAGAACAACAGGTCAAGAGAAGGTGGAAGAGACATAGGAAGACAAAACAGACAGGAAGAAAAGGGGTAAGAGAGAATGAGAGAAGGATGAAACAAATGGAAGATGGCCAAGAGGAGAGAGAGAGCGAGAGGAAGGTTAAAGAGTCAGAGAGGAGGAGGGGGTAAAAAAGTAGAGAGGTGTCAGGAGTTTGAGATTTCAAAGCAGCACCAGGCATTCAATCTGAAATGTCACACACACCCCACCCAAAATCTACAAGGCTTGGTTGCCCACAGTGTCCCTTTCATCACAAACACAAACACTAACTGTACTCACTGTGAATACTGTGGCAGCGATTGCATACACCAGAAGCGCCTGGCCATTGTCCCTGGTCATCTCTGCTTCCTCCTTAGCATCTTTAGTCTCTGTAGTCTCTGCAGTCTCTTTAGATAAGGTCTCGTTGGCAGTTAACCGGTAGTCTATGTACAGCCACCACAGAATGCTTGTGCCCGCTACAGAAAAACAGACACTTTTTATGATAGATTGAACACCTGCACACTGATAAATGCAAAGAGGACTGTCCCAAAAATGATCATAGAATGAATGTTAAGTGCAAAACTATGTCATTGTTTCATGGTTTTCAGTTGTTATTTTGACTGATCAGGAGACAGGAAGTGAGCTCACACAGGGAGCCCAGGACCACCATGGCAGTGAGGATCCAGACCAGCACAGCAGAGATGTAGCGGATGATCACCATCAGGATCATGGAGAGCACTGTACAACACAGGCACAACAGACCTTTAAAACACAGATCTAGGATCAGCTAACCCTGCCCTCGGTCTCAACCCTAACCTCAACCATTTGGAATCAAAAATCAAAACTGACCATCAGGAGAGCCAGTTCCCCAAGTGAAGATCGAGGGTCAGCTAACCATATTCAAAGCCTTTCCTTCCCCACTTCGACACAGCAGAACTTTGTCTTACCCTAACCCACATGTACTCTGAGCATTAACTCCCAAATGTACAAGTTCATGGCTCCCATGTCATGCCCTTTACCTGCCAGCTTCCATCCTCTCATTCCAAAGAGGGCAGTTTCAGGGGGGACTCAAAGATGTGATGACTTTGCTGTATTTTCACCCAGCACTGTGTTTCTCCACCATTGATGTCTGACCTACAGTAACTGCCTGTGTACTGACACGTCATACTGATATGGAGAAATCAGCAGAATGCACTAAAGCAGGACAGGTGTTCCCTATGCAGGCCTATTCTTTACTGGCTCACATTAGGGAAGGCTCAGAGACTAGTGGGCCCCAGAAATACAATGAAGACCAATCCCTCCCACTGGGTTTAGAGACTAAGGCCCTGTCCAGAAACAACCCTTAGCCCCTTCCCCTGGCTCTTCATGTAGATCTGAAACAATTGGATAGGCATGGTAGTAGTTCCACCTTGTTCCCCAATGGGTGGAGATTTTGCCATATTGCTTTTATCTATCCAGCATCCCCCTGAGATACTGCTGATAACAAACGCATGCTGACAAACGTCATCACCTAGTGCCAGCAGGCAGAGGCCCACGATGATCTCCTTGCTGGCCATCACGCCGCCGATCAGCCTGTGCAGCACACTGTTGTCGCTCACAAATGTCACCACCGCCTCAGCAAACTTGGCATAGCAGGAGATGTCCACCGGCGTGCAGCGGTTGAACACCGGGAGAGATTTGCTGTGGGATGGAGCGAAGTAGAGGTCAAAAGTCAGGCGTCACGACCTGGGAGGTTCTCTAAAACATGACCTGTTTGAATACTTAAAATGTATGTATCCCCACCCCTTTCTTGAGGTAATATCTAATCTATATGACTGGTTAAGTGAAAGTCCTTTTATGGTTCTGAATGAAAAGAGGAAAATAAGCAATCCTAGCCTATTGAAATGCAGCCCTAATGTTAGGCCTATTTACCTTGGGGGAACTGGAAGTTTGGGACATTTGTCGAACCTCTCTGGAAGGCCGGGATATTTGTGACCGGCTAGTTCGTATGAACACAGCTCCGAACCTGAGTGACAGACAGACAAAGAATTTGAACACAGGAAAGTGGAACCATACACAAACAGGAACATAAGGACAATTGATTTAAAATTCAGTCTCCCCAGAAGTAATCAGTTATAGCTCAATATGCTGTCTAAACCAACATATGCTGATCCATATTTCATCATTTTCACTTCATGTAACTAATAACGTTACACAATCTTGTTCTTAACTGTGCTACGCTCACTGCCCCGGGAATTCAGAATCAGTCAGTCGAATCAGAACACAAGACCACTGGAGACGGCAAAGTTACATAATCCCAGCCCAGTCTATCATGGGGCATACATGGACTGTGTGTGATACGATAAGTATATACAGTACTGTCAGTAGACACGCAAACCTGGCTGAAGGACGGGCTAGTGTGGCACAAACAGTACCCATACAGCAAGGGGTGGCATTGGCCTTAAATGGGGCCTTTGTTCATCTAGTTCGCTCTCCACTTGTGCCAAGGTGCCTGCTGTGCCAGAGAGTGTGTGTGTGTGTGTGTGTGTGTGTGTGTGTGTGTGTGTGTGTGTTGAATGAAAAGACAGTATTAAGGGAAGATGGCACGCGGGGTCACAGACATGTCAGTGTTTATAGAAAGTGTTTGTCGTTCCAAAGGATGGCAGTGATTCACTGTCAATGACGTGATGGATGGCAGCTGTAACGATGACCTAGTAGCCTTCTGTTGATGGGGGAAGAGAAACACCTGCTCCTCATAACACTCTTTTCTAACGGGATGATCTTTAGATGATTTTTATGCCTTCTCATCTAAAGATTTGTGGTGATTCATTTTTCTCTCCATGGATATGATGTGAGATTGTGATGAATAAAATGCAAGAGCTTCCTTTCAAAACAATTCATTACATGACCACTATCGACAAGCAGATTTTCAAATCAATAACTTGCATGTGCTGGGTCCACAGCATTATCAGTAGAGTTACTGAGAGGAATAGAGAATCAGTCAATGATTCAATATGCTGTCAGTGTTATGCTTTTGTGTGCTTTGATGGTGGAAAAGCTTATAGCTGACAGTGTCCACTGTTTCACTATGGGCCCTACTCACCATTGTGCATGGCGAACCTCTTGAGGTCCTGGTACGTCTTCAGCTCTTCATCAGGACACAGGGACACACACAGGGCCATGGACTTGATCTTCCTCTGCACTATGTCAATGTTGCATGGGTCCAGGAAGAACACATACCTGCAGACAAATCAGACGACAAAATATCTGTTCATCTGTTCTTTATCAACACAAAAAACACCTACATAAGGAATGGGTAACAAGGAATGTGAGAATTTCAGCAATTTGATTATCAGTTCTTTATCAATAAAATCTGTTTCCCATCACCAATATGAGGAATGTGTCACGAGAAAGATGTGAAAATGTGGGCGTGGGAACATGTGATACTGAGAGAGGAAAACAAAGTAACAAAATGACCGGAAAAATCCAGAAGCCTACACCTCCCCTCAATGTCCTGTTCATTTTGGGGACAAAGCGAACACACTGCCTCAACAATACCTTATTCACTGAGATATGATAGAATGCCGCGAGATAGAGAGCCTTTGGCTGCTGCTACTGCTGCTGCTGCTGGAACTGGTCCATGGGACTTGGCAGTGGAACGGAGAGTGAAAGGAACAAGGACATTTTAATAAGAGAATCCTTCACTGTGGTCCATCTGCCTGGTGCTTTTATACACTAGGGGGTGGGCACCTTGCCCACACACACACACACACACTCACAGGAGGGTCGTTCCATGTCATTTCAGCAAGCTATGACACCCACCATCTCAGATTGTTCTGAACTCGTTTCTGTAGTTAGAAACAGATCAGATTAGCATTCCTGCAACATTATTTTGTTGAAATATAAATTTGACCTCAGAGAAATTGATTGCACCCAAATTGGACATTTTAATTTATAGGATTCATAGAATATTCAATAAATATAGTACCTAACATCCGATTTGGACCAAATGTTTTTTCTAACAATGAGTAAGACATGAGGAATCCAAAGAAATTGTCAAAAGCTACCCACGGACCCCCCACGCCAATCCAACCCCAACAACCAGTATACGTCTCAGTTCTCTATGTCTGACAACACAGGAGGTTGGTGACACCTTAATTGGGGAGGACAGGCACATAGTAATGGCTGGAATGGAATACATGGAACAGTATCAGTCTCAAACACATGGTTTCCATGTGGTTGACACCATTCCATTCACTCCTTTCCAGCCATTATTATGAGCCGTCCTCCCCTCAGCAGCTTCCTGTGTCTGACAAGTAGTATGGAGCTGCAGCTCGGAGTATTGTTTCTTCATCCTATATAATGTATTCTCAGTGAATTTGGTAATGGTTTTTTTCTCCTGTTCAGATATATTAGTCACTGAAGTTGTTCGTTTTATATCCCATCCGACATCCTGATGGTGCCGTTCCTGCTATTAGGTGGACAAAGTTTGAAGTATCCCCCACCTCTAAATGTTAAAGGGATAGTTCACCCTATTTACAAAATTACATATTGGTTTCCTTACCCTTTAAGCAGTCTATGGACAATGTTTGACTTTTCTGGTGATTTATAAGCTGGCACAGTGGTTTGCACTGCACACATGCTTGTTGAAAGGAAGATAGATATGACAATCAAGTCACATTGGATTTATCAGACTAGTCGAGGGCAGTTTGACTTTCTCTAAAGTCAGTTCTTCCTAACAGCTGAGGTTAGGATCGGACTTGGATAAACTGATCCTGGATCAACCAGCTGCCATGGCCAGAACAATACGCCTACAGCGCTGTACTGTTTACATTTGGCCCCTGCCTTGTGAATGAGGAGCTACTTAACTGTATTAGCTAAATAAACCCTGACCAGCTATCCCTTAAGCTCTGACTTTGTTGTCACTGATTGCATTATGTGACACCAGCCTATACCTCACAAAGGTAGGTCACTTAAAAGGTTGCTGAGGGCAGGACTGAATAAAGCATTGAACATAACCTCGACTTGGCCTACAATGCTAGACTTAAATTAACCACCCCAGCAATGCTAGACTTTTTTGCCCACAGAATGCAAAAAAATAGGCACTTTCGGACAAACAATGTCTGCGTACCAGCAAGAAAGATCACATCTGTTATTGTTATTGCCGTGTTCAAAACAACTGGGAAATCTCCGACGTCCGACTTCAGTGCGTTCAAGACAACTCAGAAAGAAACAAGCTCCGACAGGGAAAAATCCAACTCGGAATTCCAAGTCAGAAACTGGAATCTTTCTAGAGCTCGGACTTTCCGACCTGAAGATCACGGACGTCATGATTTGTCTTGAAAGCACCATAAGTCTAATGACATGAAGAGAAGATATACCAAGAGAGAGATGAAGGACGTGAGGAGGAGAATCAGAGAGAGACACACACAGAGACAGAGAGACAGGGACAGAGAGAGAGAGAGAGAGAGAGAGAGAATTGACAGCTGTGTAGTCCTTTATTGAATCCCGTGACAGCTGCCTTCTCAGTTGAGTTCAGCATCAGGTGGTTGCGTTCGCAACGAGGCCTGTCAGTCAAACGTCACACCCTCTCTACCAAACTCTCTTCTACACACTCACACACTGCCGCTGGGGCCTGCATTAATCCAGTGATCTCGGTCTACAGTGTCTGTCTGTGTCTGTGTGTGTGTGTGTAATATATATACACACACATATACAGTTGAAGTCGGAAGTTTACATACACCTTAGCCAAATACATTTAAACTCAGTTTTTCACAATTCCTGACATTTAATCCTAGTAAAGATTCCCTGTCTTAGGTCAGTTAGGATCACCACTTTATTTTAAGAATGTGAAATGTTAGAATAATAGTAGAGAGAATGATTTATTTCAGCTTTTATTTCTTTCATCACATTCCCAGTGGGTCAGAAGTTTACATACACTCAATTAGTATTTGGTAGCATTGCCTTTAAATTGTTTAACTTGGGTCAAATGTTTCGGGTAGCCTTCCACAAGCTTCCCACAATAAGTTGGGTGAATTTTGGCCCATTCCTCCTGACAGAGCTGGTGTAACTGAGTCAGGTTTGTAGGCCTCCTTGCTCGCACACACTTTTTCAGTTCTGCCCACAAATGTTCTATAGGATTGAGGTCAGGGCTTTGCGATGGCCACTCCAATACCTTGACTTTGTTGTCCTTAAGCCATTTTGGAAGTATGCTTGGGGTCATTGTCCATTTGGAAGACCCATTTGCAACCAAGCTTTAACTTCCTAACTGATGTCTGGAGATGTTGCTTCAATATTTCCACATAATTTCCCTTCCTCATGATGCCATCTATTTTGTGAAGTGCACCAGTCCCTCCTGCAGCAAAGCACCCCCACAGCATGATGCTGCCACCCCCGTGCTTCACGGTTGGGATGGTGTTCTTCGGCTTGCAAGCCACCCCCCAATGGTCATTATGGCCAAACAGTTATATTTTTGTTTAATCAGACCAGAGGACATTTCTTCAAAAAGTATGATCTTTGTCCCCATGTGCAGTTGCAAACCATAATCTGTATTTTTATGCCGGTTTTGGAGCAGTGGCTTCTTCCTTGCTGAGCGGCCTTTCAGGTTATTTCGATATAGGACTAATTTTACTGTGGATATAGATACTTTGGTACCTGTTTCCTCCAGCATCTTCACAAGGTCCTTTGCTGTTGTTCTGGGATTGATTTGCACTTTTCGCACCAAAGTACGTTCATCTCTAAGAGACAGAACGCGTCTCCTTCCTGAGCGGTATGACGGCTGCGTGGTCCCATGGTGTTTATACTTGCGTACTATTGTTTGTTCAGATGAACATGGTACCTTCAGGCGTTTGGAAATTGCTCACAAGGATGAACCAGACTTGTGGAGGTCTACAATTATTTCTTTTGATTTTCCCATGATGTCAAGCAAAGAGGCACTGAGTTTGAAGGTAGGCCTTGAAATACATCCAAAGGTACACCTCCAATTGACTCAAATGATGTAAATTAGCCTATCAGAAGCTTCTAAAGCCATGACATCATTTTCTCGAATATTCCAAGCTGTTTAAAGGCACAGTCAACTTAGTGTATGTAAACTTCTGACCCACTGGAATTGTGATACAGTGAATTATAACTGAAATAATCTGTCTGTAAACAATTGTTGGAAAAATTACTTGTGTCATGCAATAAGTAGATGTCCTAACTGACTTGCCAAAACGATCATTTGTTAACAAGAAATTTGTGGAGTGGTTGAAAAATTAGTTTTAATCACTCCAACCTAAGTGTATGTAAACTTCCGACTTCAACTGTATACAGCGGGGAGAACAAGTATTTGATACACTGCTGATTTTGCAGGTTTTCCTACTTACAAAGCATCCAGAAAATCACATTGTATGATTTTTAAGTAATTAATTTGCATTTTATTGCATGACATAAGTATTTGATACATCAGAAAAGCAGAACTTAATATTTGGTACAGAAACCTTTGTTTGCAATTACAGAGATCATACATTTCCTGTAGGTCTTGACCAGGTTTGCACACACTGCAGCAGGGATTTTGGCCCACTCCTCCATACAGACCTTCTCCAGATCCTTCAGGTTTCGGGGCTGTCGCTGGGCAATACGGACTGTGTGTTTTCGGTCGTTGTCATGCTGGAAGACCCAGTCACGACCCATCTTCAATGCTCTTACTGAGGGAAGGAGGTTGGTGGCCAAGATCTCACGATACATGGCCCCATCCATCCTCCCCTCAATACGGTGCAGTCGTCCTGTCCCCTTTGCAGAAAAGCATCCCCAAAAAATGATGTTTCCACCTCCATGCTTCACGGTTGGGATGGTGTTCTTGGGGTTGTACTCATCCTTCTTCCTCCAAACACGGCGAGCGGAGTTTAGACCAAAAAGCTCTATTTTTGTCTCATCAGACCACATTACCTTCTCCCATTCCTCCTCTGGATCATCCAGATGGTCATTGGCAAACTTCAGACGGGCCTAGACATGCGCTGCAGGATTTTAATCCATGACGGCGTAGTGTGTTACTAATGGTTTTCTTTGAGACTGTGGTCCCAGCTCTCTTCAGGTCATTGACCAGGTCCTGCCGTGTAGTTCTGGGCTGAGGTGAGATCTTGCATGGAGCCCCAGACCGAGGGTGATTGACCGTCATCTTGAACTTCTTCCATTTTCTAATAATTGCGCCAACAGTTGTTGCCTTCTCACCAAGCTGCTTGCCTATTGTCCTGTAGCCCATCCCAGCCTTGTGCAGGTCTACAATTTTATCCCTGATGTCCTTACACAGCTCTCTGGTCTTGGCCATTGTGGAGAGGTTGGAGTCTGTTTGATTGAGTGTGTGGACAGGTGTCTTTTATACAGGTAACGAGTTCAAACAGGTGCAGTTAATACATGTAATGAGTGGAGAACAGGAAGGCTTCTTAAAGAAAAACTAACAGGTCTGTGAGAGACGGAATTCTTACTGGTTGGTAGGTGATCAAATATTTATGTCATGCAATAAAATGCAAATTAATTACTTAAAAATCATACAATGTGATTTTCTGGATTTTTGTTTTAGATTCAGTCTCTCACAGTTGAAGTGTACCTATGATAAAAATAACAGACCTCTACATGCTTTGTAAGTAGGAAAACCTGCAAAATCGGCAGTGTATCAAATACTTGTTCTCCCCACTGTATGTATGTATGTATGTATGTATGTATGTATGTATGTATGTATGTATGTATGTATGTATGTATGTATGTATGTATGTATGTATGTATGTATGTATGTATGTATGTATGTATGTGTGTGTGTGTGTATGTATGTATGTATGTATGTATGTATGTGTGTGTGTGTGTCAGTCACATCAATAGGTCAGTCCTGAGAGAGGCTGTCAGGGTGCTTTAATGAAGCATATAATTGCTAGCTAATGTGATGATTATGGACTGGGGGAAGCTAACCAGTGAGCCTGAAAAGGTTCTCAAGGGCAGAAGCCATTGAATTTCACAATAGTTCTGTCGACAAAACCTCCATCTATACATCTGCATGTGCCTGTCAATATACATACACACCTTTGACACCAATGTCAGACTATTACCCAGGATTAGAGGGTTGGGGATTATTTCAGACTGGGCATGCTAGTCACTGTGGGATCAATCAACACAATAGCCATGTACAACCAAGGGTCCAATATCCCTATAGCTATTAATTTAAAATAGCCTTGCCCGCAGGCATGTTTTTACACAACCCTACCACAAGCATCAACAGCACACTATGAGTGAAATCAGCTTACTCATTGTTGGTACAACTCTCCACTCTAAAATGGGACTGAAGACACCATTCAGGAGACAAATTAAATGGGTAGGTGTTATGCTCATCACAGCCAGTTTGTGGTTGTTCAAAGGAAGAGTGAGACTGAGAGACAAGGCAGTGTCTGCACTCTGCACCACCCAACAGAGACAAGGCAGTGTCTGCACTCTGCACCACCCAACAGACTGAGAGACAAGGCAGTGTCTGCACTCTGCACCACCCAACAGAGACAAGGCAGTGTCTGCACTCTGCACCACCCAACAGACTGAGAGACAAGGCAGTGTCTGCACTCTGCACCACCCAACAGAGACAAGGCAGTGTCTGCACTCTGCACCACCCAACAGACTGAGAGACAAGGCAGTGTCTGCACTCTGCACCACCCAACAGAGACAAGGCAGTGTCTGCACTCTGCACCACCCAACAGACTGAGAGACAAGGCAGTGTCTGCACTCTGCACCACCCAACAGTGCAGAAACAAAGCAGTAAACAATGATGTATGGAAAGAAAGAGAAGGAGAGAGAGAGAAACCTACAGATAGAAATAGAAAGACAGAGAAAATGAGCGAGCGCACGCACGCATGAGAGGGAGAGAGAGCAAGAGCGAGAGAGAAAGAGAGAAATACAAAAAGAGAGACAGAGAAAGAAACTGCCAGCCAGTGACATCTGAGTTTTCACAACTATTTGAGTGACAGGGTCCTCCTGATGTGAGCCAGCACCCTCTCAAGAAACGTCTTCCTGCGCGCACTTACTGACATAGTCACTGACTAATACCAAGCCACTTTCTCTCTCCACATGATGATTAGCTATATCTTATGTCTGTAAACACTGGCAGCAGCGCAATGCATACCATCTATACACACATTAACACAACGGATGAATTCTATGTTCAATAGGAAGGAACTAGCGTCATTATTTCATTATGTTTTTTTGTTTCATCAGTAGTCTGTCCAAACGGTAAGAGGAAAACATCAAGCAGAGTGAAATCAAACCCATTCATATTTCTTCACTGACACTCCGGCAAAACCTAAATAAATGAATTACCCTGTGCTGATGACCCAAAGGTCTGTACCACAGGAGGTTGTCTAATTCGTAATTCTACGGTACCACAAGGCAATCATTAAGCACACAGTCAATCCAAAGAGGGGAAAGTAATCAGCATGCGATGCAAATGAAGTGGGCTGAAATACCGGTGTTCCCAGAGGGTGGTGCGTGCAGTAAGTACAGTTGACCGTGACAGAACGTCCTACTCATAAGGCCTCTGCATATTTATTCAAGGTTTTATTTATGCCAGTTTCCCATAGGCCACAGTTAAAATGACTGCAATTTGACATTTCTATTGAACCAATGAGCAACAGGGCAAACCTATTTCTTAATATTTCTCAATAATGGGCTAATTCGCCCTAACATTTGTGTTTGTAAACAGAGGGGTGGGTTTTGGCAAATGTCACTGCCACTTTAAGATAGAAGAGTGTGAAGTGGGTGAGAGTGAAAGATGGGCGAGAGACTCACTTTTTGTCCGTCTGATCCAGTCCACTCAGCCTGACCCCTTCGATCTGCTCATTGCGCTGGCCGCAGGTGTTCCCGTAGCTGTCATATCCAAAGACCAGGCGGCCTGCGCCCCCAGTGGCGATGGTAAACCCACAGATACTCCCCTGAGAGAAGCATTAGCAAGCATTAGCATCCAATGCTACAAATACAATACGTGCATGTGTGACAGTGGGGTATGGACTTGTATCAATATATTGTTGACAGGTATAAAATGCAATGTACCAACCTGACTCTCTAACTGCGAAGCTTATAGATAGTTTAATGACCAGTGGTTTTTAAGTATTCAGATTAAAATCACGGAAATTGAATAGTACTTAATTTGTCCATCTGTTACAGCAACTATTCTTATTCTCTCACACACATACACTTTGGGAAGAGCACAGGATCAGCTGCCGTGCAATGGTGCCAGTGTCCATGGAGCTGGCTAGGGTTTAAGTGCCTTGCTCAATGGTCAAAAGTAGGAAGTGGTACCTGGGATCTGAAACCAGTAGCCATCTACTAATTCTAGTTGCTGGTTCGATTCCCACTTTTTCATCGCCTGGTCTGAGAGTTGATCATCTATTCCGATCGGTTTGTTTGTTTCATACATTTTAGCCACAATGTCAACCATTCTCAAAAGTCTGAGCACACTTCAAGTTCAAACTTCAGGAGGTGTTGTTAATTGTCTGCATGCTTGGAGATAATTGGCTGAGCAAAGGTGGTGTGGTAACCTGACACAGTTTCCACTAGCCAGGCAATCAATCACCTGGGCATTTAAAGAGTGTGTCATATGACAAGTTGAACGACTTTCATTGAGGGGAGCCTTGTATTTAGTCTCCAAATGTGGTTTAACCTATATATTTATGGTATTACATTGTTCTTCGTTTTCAATTGTAAAATGAATAGGCATATATACTTACCATTCCAACACAGAATACAGTAAATAAAAGGAACCACGGCAAATCCGTGCAACTTCGATCCTCCAAGGGTTTCCATTCTCTCTTTGTCCTCTGGAAAACAAAATATCAACACATAGGCTGTGCCACATTAGCAAATAGGCTACAGTCTATATGAGTCTTTGTCAATTCAAAGGTGACACTGTAAGCTACACATGTTATTTCACACACAAAATGTCCATCAATGACACGCGCCCTCTCTAGTAGTCACCGTGAATGTAATTAGGCCAAGTTTTGACTGCCTTTGCCCAACGCAATTTTACTGACATTGCATTTTCGTAGATAGAGGCTATTTGTGGCCGACTGTAGTGAAACAGACTTTGCGTTGAAAACAATCACATTTAACGATATTCTACTATCCTTCATTGCCAAGGCGCCGTTCAATAGCGTAAAATCTCGCACGTTGCGTGAGGTGAGGTTTGTTTACTAAACTAACGGTGCTCACGAGCTATTTATGGTATACAAAGCTGCTTTCAAGTGGTAGCCTATGCAAAATGTCGGTGGTAATGAACTAGAAAACGATTAAACCATTATTGTCGCAAGTTATATAGCTCGATATTTCCTCCTCGGCTTCAATAATAATAGGATTACACTAGTCTTCCCCGATGAACATAGCCCAGGCTTTTTATCTAATCTGACTACGGTGGTGAGAATTGTCATTGGATGACAGCGGTCGCAACAATGTAGCAGTGCAATCGTCGTTCCATGCATGATGTTCAAGGTGCAATTAAACGAATGCAACATAGGGATGGAGGAAACCGTTAGCTTACCTCTGTGCTATCGCAGCATCCCATTGCAGTCAAGGGTTAGATTTGAGAATAGCTAAACGCTACAGCACAAGAAGAACAAAAAACCCAAACTTGCTGGGAGTTCCCGGTATTATGTTTACCCTGCATGAATTGCAAAACACCGACTTGAACGATTTGTAGATTAGAAAGGCGACACAACTGGTATATTCCATCAAAAATGCATACTAATATCTATCTCCTTCCTCCAGGTATAAGGGCTTAATACTTTAGGATTTATCGCACACTTCCTGGTGGATTGTGCTGGTGCAGCCGGAAAAGGAACGTAGCATCCATTCATGAGACTGCGCATTTGGTAACCGACTATAACCGGAGGATGGCGGGACGTTGGCGGCGCGCGCGACTTCTAAAAGCACTGCTTTATCAGTGTATCCTAATGTCCATTTACTCAAACCACACAATATGGCGCACTCGTCCATAATAGACTATAAGACATTATTAAAACTGGAGGTGTTGTGGGCCGAAGAAGACATAGCCCTAATGCACATGCTTCAATTTAAAATTGTATAGGCCAACTAAGGGGGCATGTTATGTTCCAATTAATTTGTATTGTCAGCGCTCACAATTATCAAATTAAAATTAACATAATGGGGTGACCATTTCCGTTCATGTAATTCCAAAGTGGCTGCACTGAACAATAAATTAGTAGCCTACACATGAGTCAATGTTCATCACAGAGGTTAATGCAATTTTTATCAGCCAATAGATGATGCTATATAGCCTAGGCTACTTGATCAATATTCTAGCAATTACCTATAATTTATTTGTTTTTGAATGATGGATTTTGTTCGTAAACCCATAATCGTATTCAAATGTATACTGTATGATAATATATTAATAACATACACCATTTTTAATCTGAAAACAAAAACAAAAAACAAATTTTCCCAATCCGAAAATATATATATTAACGCTTTCCTCACTCTCATACGGTATCCAGGATTTATTTGCACGCTGTAGTCTGTCTCCAAATAAGGGTTGTCCACTTTTTTCCTGGGCCTCCCTTGCTGGGAACCGCTTGTCGAACTTCTCTGTTCCATCTTCTTGGCTGTGTGGGGCACAGCACTGGCAGGGAGATGCCAGTCTGAAGGCAAAAATAGGGGCCTTTGTTGCATTGTTTTCTGTTGTACCAGGGAGAGAGTGCGCTGTGTGTGTGTTTGTGCTCGTGAATGTGCGCGCACGTGTGTGATGTTTTTATTTGTACGGCTGTAATGAGTTAGTGTGCATTATCAACCTGTGGCACCACTTTTTCAAATGTAGTGATTGGTGAGATACGGTATGTGTGACCAAAGTTCTACTAAATTAGTCGTTTGTTTTTCTTGTCCTTTTCGATTATCCTTCCTTGTTTTTACCATCAACTGTAGGGCTACAATGTAGACAAAACATTTATAAACAAATTAATTGTTCTCTGTATTTGTGTTGATGTAATTGTATATACCGATATTTACATAATTATAATGGATTAATGGGCAACATTTGATGAGATCATTCCGTAGGTGATTTCTCTTTGTACAGTACAAATGTCTTGCCATTTTGGTGTAAGCCACTAGAGGGCAGTCACACCTTGTGTAAAACAAGTTGGAGGAGTCGGCAGTAAGTGGACCCAACAGCAAAAAATTAGACGGATGGAGTTGCCAAAGATTCAGGGCGCGTCTCAATAGTCTTAAATGGCTACCTCTACTCAGCTCCTTGACTATCTCTGTTTTATACACTGATCTGAAAACAAATCTCACCTCACAACTCACCCAGATCAGTAAAGTTGAAGGAAAGGAAGTAAAGTAAGCAGACATCTTTGAACTATTAAGCTGCATTAGTGTCTCACTTAAGAGAAGATCAACATATTATAGTAAATGGTAGCAAAACTACAATAATTGTCACTGTTTGCACTCCTATCTGTGAGCTACTATGATATGTCTAGGCAGTCCAATAAAACATTGTGAATCAGAGGTTTTGAGAAACGTCTTTATGTATAAACCAGACTAAATAACACATAGTTCATCTTGTTTTAGGGAGTGGATCTCATGACTATCTGGATAGCTAAATGTGACAACACAGCACTTCAACAAAATGTGCCATCCTTACTTGTCATTCTTTTTTGGGATAATATCTGCTGAGTCGACCATTGGTTGTTGTTTGTCCTTATATATGTGTGGTGGGCTCCAAACCTGCAGCTCTAACCTTTCACTTACATTTGTTACCTAATATGTAGCTTATTATTTAGCAGTCTTTTTGCAGTAGTGGGCAGTTTCTTGTTTTTGTTGGCCTAGTGTTCAATCAGGCAGTGGTTGGTGAGAGCCTCCCATTTGGTTGGTCATTCAGACCCTATGTAATGAGTCTGATTCTCTACGCTCTGGTAGTTTTTAATAGACTCCATTGTTACCAGGCTTCCCACAGAAAAACAAGCAGAATTTGCTTGCTCTGCCCTCATAGCCTCACATTGAAGTGTTTTACCAATTTCTTTTCAGGAGAACCAGGTCTACAAGTAGAACACAAAACAATTTGACAAACAGTTGCATTCATTAGTTTTATTGATACATTTTACACAAAAAATTAGGTCAGCCAAAGCAAAAACCAGATTAAAAAAAGACTAAGAATTCTGTACGTACAGAAATTGTTTGCTCAGTGGGAAATTAATATCAAACTAGACAGTGGAATTTGGAGTTTGACAGCAACTATGTGACCTTATTACAGTATAAACACTGGGATTTTCTATGATCTTGTATGTACTGTAGAAGAACCCCTTACCTTCTAGCGACTCTTGTGTGGCTTGTGAGCATCTTAGAGCAAAACATGTTACGTGTTCGTGAGAGTCTTTTTATAGATATGTAATAATTATAAAATAATATAATAAATAAATAATTGTTCATTTAGCAGACGCTCTTATCCAAATGTGCATACAGTAGTAACCTAAGATGGTTGTATTTGATATCGCAGCGTGATAAGCGTACATTTTATTAAGTACTAAACTCACGACAAAACAACAAACAAACGAAACGTGAAGTCCTAGGTTACACAAAACAAACCTTAACGGAACAAGATCCCACCCGACTAGTGCCAAACAGGCTGCCTAAGTATGGTCCCCAATCAGAGACAACGAGATACAGCTGCCTCTGATTGGGAACCACCCTGGCCAACATAGATCTACAACGATCTAGAAAACACAACATAAAAATAAGACATAGAAACTCCACACCCTGGCTCAACATTTAAGAGTCCCCAGAGCCAGGGCGTGACAGTACCCCCCCCAAAGGCGCGGACTGCGACCGCGCCACACAAACACAACAGGGTAGGGGCCGGGTGGGCATTCCGCCTCGGAGTGTGGATCCGGCTCCGGGCGTGGACCACCACTTTCCTCTCCACCTCCCCGTTGCGCCCCTGGTCTGGTCTGACAAACCGCTGACTGGAGCTGGACCCGACGACGGTGGATCGATCTGTACAGGCTCCGGACTGGAGCCGCTGGCCGGAGCTGGACTGGGCACCGGTGGAGCGGATTGCTCTGGCTCCGGAGTGGATCCGCTGACAGAGTTGGACCGGACCCCGGTGGAGCAGATTGCTCTGGCTCCGGATGACAGTGACCGGTGAACAGCAGGCATGACCGGTGGAACAGGACGTGGAGCCAGGACCACGGGGACAACGGTGGGAGGCAGAACGGGCCGGCCGGGCTGACGACCGCACCCTGGCTTGGGCGGGGACGAATTGTGACCTTTTACATTTAAAAACCGGGGATTTTTTTAATCTTGTTGTACTGTAAAAGGGAACCCCCCTTCCCTTCTACGACTTTTGTTGGCTGTGAGCATCTTAGAGAAAAAACTGTTACGTGTCGTGAGAGTTTTTTTTATAGATTTTAATAATTATAAAAATATATAAAAAATAATTGTTCTTTGCAGACCTCTTATCCAAATGGGCATACAGTAGAACCTAAGATGGTTTTGTATTTTATCCCCTCAGATTCAGGGGCGGTTGTGTTCAATAGGGCGATATGGGCGACGCACTGCCAAACGGGAAAAGGAAGGGATTTTTTTTTCTAATCAATTATATCACGGCAACAGTAGTTATCAGTGTTGTAATCTAGACGTCTGATCTGCCACAGTGCCACTAAATGTCCAATCAGGCTAAAGTCGTGCTTCAAATGCCCCCCCCCCCCCCCTTTTGGGGCGATTTCAGTCAGGTTGAAAATCGCCCAGAAAGTCTGTCATAGACTCCCATGTAAAATCTATTTTTTTCAAATATCAGAGCTTTCAATACAATCTCTATGGGTTTCTGAGGGCTTGCACTTACGCGCTTTCGTCATACGTAACATAACCATGAACGTAACTAAGAAAAGAGCGGGTAGCAGCATCAATCAATTCACTACTACTATCAAAATGGCTAGGCTTCAGTGCAACTCGATTGTGTCTTTGAAAGAAGTTCCTTTTTGTCGGCGAACAAATGAAGATAAATTGGCAACGAAACAATTAGGACCTCCCAGACCAAATTTAATAATTCAACAGGTTTCTACTAAAGGGGGGAAGTCCTACACCCGAGGATTTTCCAAAAATTGGTACGAACGAAAAACCTGGCTAGCAGGCTGCGATGTAGCTAATGCAGTCTTCTGCTACCCCCCTGCTTACTCTTTCACCCTGAAGGCGGCACGGCAGACAGCACCGCTTGGACAGCGACTGGTGTGTAACGGACATGCACCATCTTTCAGGAAAGATTAAGAAACATGAGCTGTCAAAGACCCACATGGATAGCTGTTTGAGATTGTCTGCTTTGGGGAGAGTGAACATTCCCACTCAACTGGATGAGGGATACAGGCTAGCTGTCCGCCGCCACAACGATGAGGTTAGTGTTGATAATCACAAGTTTACTGGAGAACTGAAACTGACAAGGCTGACAAGATAGGACCCTTTTGTCCATTGTTATTGGATAGGAACAGAACTTATAACCAGCTCCTGACCTAAATAGATCTTAGCACAACATTTTACTCAACATATCATATTCCATATTCACTATAACAAATATATTTACTACGACATTAGCAAGAACCGCCACATCCTCAGCCGGCTAATCCAGTGTGTGAAGTTTTGCGGAGTGTTTGAGTTAGCTTTGCGAGGCAAAGATGAAACTGAGGGCTCCACCAACCCTGGTAAGCCAACACTTTTGAGATCAGTCAATAAATGCTTCTGGTATTGACTTATATGCTGCCCCTGTCTTCATGTTGTTGCTGGACATATCTTTTTTAAAATGTGTGTAGGTCACCTAAATCATCAGAAAAATTGCCCCCCCTGAGAATTTTTTCAGGAGCCGCCACTGCTCAGATTACAGTCTCACTTAAAGTTTGTTTTGATGTATGTCTGTCACGATCGTTTATGGAAGATACGGACCAAGGCGCAGCGTGATAAGCGTACATTTTATTAAGTACTAAACTCACGACAAAACAACAAACAAACGAAACGTGAAGTCCTAGGTTACACAAAACAAACCTTAACGGAACAAGATCCCACCCGACTAGTGCCAAACAGGCTGCCTAAGTATGGTTCCTAATCAGAGACAACGAGATTCAGCTGCCTCTGATTGGGAACCACCCTGGCCAACATAGATCTACACGATCTAGAAAACACAACATAGAAAATAAGACATAGAAACTCCACACCCTGGCTCAACATTTAAGAGTCCCCAGAGCCAGGGCGTGACAGTACCCCCCCCCAAAGGCGCGGACTGTGACCGCGCCACACAAACACAACAGGGTAGGGGCCGGGTGGGCATTCCGCCTCGGAGGTGGATCCGGCTCCGGGCGTGACCACCACTTTCTCTCCACCTCCCCGTTGCGCCCCTGGTCTGGTCTGACACCGCTGACTGGAGCTGGACCCGACGACGGTGGATCGATCTGTACAGGCTCCGGACTGGAGCCGCTGGCCGGAGCTGGACTGGGCACCGGTGGAGCGGATTGCTCTGGCTCCGGAGTGGATCCGCTGACAGGAGTTGGACCGGACCCCGGTGGAGCGGATTGCTCTGGCTCCGGAGTGGAGCAGCTGACCGGTGGAACAGGCACGGGCCAGGCACCGGTGGAACAGGCACGGGCCGTGCCGGACTGGACACACG